TTTGCTGACTGTATCGGGGGATCCATGAGATGACAACTGAAACCTGGGGGCGACTTATCGGTCTTGGAGAACTTGGACGGACAAACGCTCATTTCAAGCGCGAAGCGCGTGGACAACTTGGCTACACACTTCCTCATCGTATTTTTCAGTAAACCGGCGGCTGTTTCAGTACCGGCACCGGTTGCGCCAGTCTTGCTCGACAGGCTCCAATGTGATGCAGTCGAAGTGTATCAGCCGCTCGTCAATCTCGATGGTGCAAAGCTGCCCGGACCAGACGAACTTCACCACTAATACTCAAGTCCCTATCGATGATCATCTCATCAGCCCTGACAAACCTATTCGCTAAATCACCCTTTGAAGTATCTGTCCCCAACGACTGGAAATACTCGATAGTGAGATCGCTTCCCAAGGGTGCTGCTCCGATTAATGTAAAGAACTATAGACCAATCTGTTTGACTTCGATATTATCCAAAGTGCTCGAGAAGATTGTGAGGTGTCTGCTGTCGTTCTTCGTATCGATGGACCTATTGACGCCAACGCAACACGGCTTTACGAAAGGACGATCCTGCATCACCAACTTGATGTACTCACATCACCAGTGGGTACGAGCTCTCAACGAACGGAAGGATGTTGACGTGGTGTCATCGACTTTAGTAAGACGTTTGACAGAGTGAACCACGAGGTACTCCTTCATAAACTACCTACGGAATCGGTGAAACTCTACTTCAGTGGTTACATCAGTTTATTGTAAGACGAAAGTTTAGAGTATAGTTCAATGACTACCTGACAGACTGGTTCCCATTGACCAGTGGCGTGCCTCAAGGAACTGTACTTGGGCCAGTATTATTCCTTATTTATGTCAACAATCTTCCGTTGCAGCTTCAGTAACCATGCGCCCTGTTTGCGGATGGTTTGAAAATCTGGAGCATCATTGAGAACAAAGACGACTGCGTTTGCCTCCGGCTCGACTTAGATCGACTGTAAACGTGGTCCGCTGAAATGGAACTCCCTCTTAACGTCAGCATGTCGGAGTTCACCAGTATCACCAGACGTCCAGCCACATCCTGGACAACCAGTTGCACCACCTCAACGCATCTGTCAGAGACTTGAGAGTGCGCTCGCGATATGATATGAGATCACTAGAACATACGGGGAAATTGTACCGTGCTGGACTTCGTATGCTCTGGGCATTACGACTCACTTTCTCCACCTGGTCCAAAGAAACCGTCTTTCACCTATTCAACTTGTTCATTAGACCAATCCTTGAATGCGGTGCCCCAGCTTACCATCCGATAACCCAATGGGAAACTTAAAATCTGCAACTAGAATGATTCCGAGTCTACGAAAGCTTCCGTATGAAAGTCTCAGGCTCTACACACTATCCTATCGCCAAGTAAGAATTGACCTAAGTATAACCCATCGAGTATTGCACTTGAATCACTTCCCCATACTGCGGCCAAATATTTCACTTGCGGGAACCCTGTAACACCCGAGGACACCATTACAAACTCAGGGTCCCCAGCATGAACAAAGTATCACATCAGCTTTGGATCCAACGAGCATCTTACACTGCCAGAAGAATTAATAGAAGCCGATTCTGTGAAATCTTTAAAAACACCTATCAACTATTATTTCGGAAACCTTTGCTTTTGTGAAACGGTGCACAGACAATGCCAAGAGAAGACATCGTATACCCGGAAATAATGACACCAACACGGATTCCTAACCGAACAAGGATAAACGATTAACTGACCGAACACTACCGCTGACGATTTGCAATTAATGTTTTTGATTTCCCATAATTCGATAGAGTTGCACAGAAACCTTTCTACTTACTCTCAAATACAGTATCAGATGTTGAGCTACGGTATATGGTACGATTTACAGAGACCATAGTGCATGCCATGAATAATGGATAAGTCTGTTGATGTGTGATCGGAGTCGGGAAAAGGCTCACTTTACTGGCAAAACCCGATGTTCTGCATCTTTGTTGACATCCGAGCTGAGTAAACGCTCCCTGAACAGACTTGATCTCCACTGGTCCCATGCCCACTAAGCGTTTTTAGCAGCTGGTGCGTTTTTAACACAGATATTGGGTATTTACGCGGTCTCCTGAATTTATTCATACTTGCCGACATATTAACTAAATAAATTAATGCCTGCGAACGCATGATCATGATAATACCAACAGGTATGGTCGGTAGTACCATACGGGCTTTTTGTGTCTGTATATATGTAAGTGTAGTATTAGTGGGCATGGTGAGTGAACTTTGTAGTATGACTGAATTCGTGAGTTTGTTTACTGTGTTCATCATCGAGTGAAGGGATCAAAAAAAACCCTTCGAACTGGATGACGTACATGAAGTAGGGATCATCCGGAAGCGGAAGAGTTAGTGACTTTATTTAATGGCGAGTCATACCCGGGTTGGAAGTAAACACAACAACACTCTCAAAGACCTCAAGGCGAAACTGCGTGGTAATCTGAAAAGTGGCCACGAAGCCTACTGGTTTCCTTGTGCGTCGGAGATGGAAACAGCTGCCTCACTTAGTAATCAATGAAAGTTGGTCGTCTGATACGGGAAACCGACAGCGGAACACCTGACCTTTAGGGAAACTATATGTGACGAGAGTACACAACCGATCCACCGCTTGTCAAAACGCTCGTAGCGTTAGGCCAAACACCTTGATAGTCAGTCTAATCAGCCAGTTATAAGCTTTGTTCTCGACCGGTGTTCATTCTTCGCCATGGGCTGTCCCCTTGAATCCGCCTTAACGCACAAACGTCGAACGTGAAATCATACTTCTGAAGTTGAACAAAGTCGCAAGACCAGATGTGCTTCATTCAGTCCTTTTAAACTCGGTGCACTGTTTGCACTATTTATTAAGGAAACTATGTGGGCAAGAGACTGACCCAAACGATAGGAGCTACTCCGTCTTAGTTTCGATTTTCGTAAAGGTTCACATTCGTAATGTGGCGAATCAATCTGATCCCCCATTGCCTCTGCCATTCTTCACACACTCACTGACATCCGTGAAAACCATACTCGTGAACAGTATGTCAGAATTCATAGAAATCGATGCCGTATCTGTTACATCTTCATTTTACACCAGTTATTGGAGCACTACCACTTATATTGACGATCCACAATAGTCTTGTTCCTCGACATCAAAATGTCTTCGATTCGGTGGATCGGTACGCCTTCTCGGATTATTTGGTTATTAAAGGTGCCCGATATCTGCGTCAACACTATCACATCGCTGTACGTGCATAAGCTAAGCATAGTGAGAGCTTATAGAAAACTGTCACCACTGTTCAATATCTCCAGCAGTGTGAGACAGTGTGCACACTGTCACCACTCCTTTTTATCCTCCCCATTAATGAATCCCTGGAGTCCGCGTGCGCTTGACACTGATTAGAAGATGTGGAGCTGCGTAGCAGCTGGTCAGTTTCTTAGCTTTGAGTATACATATGCTATTGCCCTAATCTCTGCCTGTTCACAGACGTACCAAGCAGCACTGCACACATTAACTCCGGCTGCTAGCCGTTTCGGGCTTTACTTTACACCCCCGAAACGCATAGCCTTCCTACATGGTTGGCAAAGGCCGCTAGCTGCGATGACCATTGATGAGAATCATCCAGAAGTCGTTTAGAAATACAACTACCAGGACAATTGCATCGGCGCCATGGAACAGATGATGAAGTGACACCGTATATCCAAAGCTTTAGACGCTTTTGTTCCAATTTGCCACCTGCGACGCCGGCGCAACATCAATCTCGTCCTAAAAGACAGAGTATAGAACGCAGCCGTCCGTTCGACCCTCATTTACGGTTGTGAAACTTGGCCCCTCATATCGACAGACATAAAAAGGCTAGTTACGTTCGATCATCACTGCCTTCGCAGCTTAGCTCACATTTGGTGGGAACACCGCGTGAGCAATGAGCGCATTCGGCCTCTTGTATTTGGGGCAGGAAGAGCGAATGAACCGCTCAGCATCGTTATTCCACACTCAAGGTTCCGATGGCTGGGCCAGATGTTGTACATGCCAGAACAGCGACGTGTGTTGTTTGTGCGACCGGGATATGGATAGAAGAAGAAGGGGAGAGGTCAAGCAACAACTTGGTCAAGAGGAATGAAAACCCTCAATTCGAATTTGGTGTCTGTTGGATTCGCTCGACTCCCTGATTACGGTTCGAGACACAATGTGCACGCGTATGGTTTCTGACACTTGTTTACTTGTCGAAGAGCCGACTTCAGTGGTGCTTGTGTTGTTAGTCTTTGTCTTGCTCCCTCCTGCTCAGCCTCTAACCACGATCTCGCTTTCAGTGCATTGCATAGAATAAAGCATGAAATTTTAGTTTTGCTTTTGTTGAGGTTTTCCTTTTTCATTCTCTTCTTAGTATCATCTGATTTGTTTGTTTACATGCAATTAGTGAAATACACAGGCTACATAGCAGACAATCAAACTGCGATGTTAACGGCAAAATATTCAATGCGGTCGAAGGCGCTTAGGCTCACGTGACCCGTTCCGAGGAAAACGCAATCACTAGCCTCACCAGGGCAGGATTAGCATATGGTCACGAAACCCGTTTGCTTGCACAGATTCGGTTTCAACCGCCGAATTGCTTGTATTGCGGTACAATAGCTGTGATATTTCTCACCCCTAGATAACTTAAAGATCGATGATGATAGTGATGCCTATTCATCCATGTGACGTCATTATACATATATTGCTGTCTCCATTAATCCCCCAGAGAAATCGCGCTGTTTAATGAGGATTGCTATTCGGTTTTGCAGTCTTTCTTGCTGTAACACAAACCTTATAACACTCCTGCTGTTCCTCGCTGTCTAATCATTTTTTTCTACCGACGTTTTTGGCCGCTAGGGCGCTAGTTTCTTCATCCGACCCTTCCACTTTTCTGTCACTGCTGTGAGCGCCTGCACTCTGTACCATTACCCTTCATGTCAGCTGTAGCTCTTACGTTTTACATTTTTCATCAGGCTCAGCTGTTGGCTGAACTTCATGTTTGCTTGGCTCACTCGATTGCACCATCCAGCTCCTCTACGGTTCCTCCGCATCAACTGCTCGCAGCTCGTTTGCGTCAGTGGCTTACGGCGCACTACTCTTGCGTTGGCAACCTCATTGATGCGCCATCTGCCAAGTTGTACCGTTGCATTCACTATTCAGCTGGTGATGCTCCCTTGAATGAACGATGCAGACTTTCTGCACTCCTCGCCTCGAGTCAGTTACAGGATGTGGATTTGGCTTGCGTGACAAACTTTGAGATTCCGGCTTCTATCAAACAACTGTATCGGATCACACTACCTGAATTGCAACCTATCTTGCGAGAACAAGTCGTTGAATGGACCTGTTTTTCCCTGCTCATTCGGCGTGCCACGGACCTCTCACTGGCTTGTCCTTTGAGTGCTGCATCTGTGGCATCAGTTTTCACCCAGCTGGATTATTCGCTCACACTTCTGGGCAAACTGCTGAAGTGTTTATCAAAACGTAAGTTTTGACGTGAATCGCTATTTTACACTCTTGTCGATTTACTTGTGCTGATATTGTGGTTTCCGTACTTGTAGACTCTACACATCGGCACGCTTGTTACACGCCAATCACCAGATGTGCATCACCAATGAGCGGTGGTCTTCCCGATCTTTTCAACACGTGCAACACATGCGCTTCCTTGTGGAACTCTCCGCTTGCTCACACTGGTGCTGTGTTGAACTTGTGGTGCGAAACCCTCAGCTTTCAGCTTCTGAAGCCCACCGCGTTAGAGGACATTTTGGACTGGGATTCTCTGCACCGTTGGCTTTGCTACTGCTGTTCTTATTTCGAACAGCTGGTCCAACTTTGGCACTGGACTGGTGGTCAAAGTCAACTGGCAGGCTGTTCACGCATTTCGAGCCAAAGCACATGCACCGGCGGATTCCAAAGTGAGTTCATTCGACTTTCGCACATTTTAACTAAATAAATTGTATATTCCTCGACAATGCGAGACGCTGTTCCACAGAAGGAACAGACCAAATATTGGGACAATCTTTCCATGACATTACATTAATACTTTTTCAGAAATAAACATGGGCACAATTTCAAATTAGGTAACACAGGATAATCAGAATCGTTGTACTATTTTTTGTGCCATTGAACCAGGATCCTTCACAATCACGTGACAGAAATTTGGCCCGAGAAAAAATGTAACCAAAGAGGCTGCTGTCCGAAATGTTATGTGTATGTGTTTCGAAAATTTATCCAAGCACCATCGATACCGCTTTCGTAAGCGTTATCTACGGACTGTGATGTCCCGAACATAATAATCACGTTCTGGATGGTTAACTGCTTACTAATCGCAAACTTAAAATTGTAAAGTGCATAACATTTTCTGACATCATTTGGAAGTTTGTTCCAAATCTTTGAGTAGTGGATTAGAAAGAAGCGTTCTCTGATTCTCGTAGTAAATTTTGGTATCATGACCTTTACCTCTTTGTTACGGATTGGATATCTGCTGTTCAAGGATATGTGAATACCGTTAGCAAGACTGCGAATTTGACAGTTTATGATTCTGTAAAGGCAACATTGGTTCAGCTTCATTCTCCGAAGCCAAACTGGGTCAAATCCAAGTTTATCACATCGCTCTCTGTATGTCAACTTTGAGGAATATTTACATGGCTTTTTCGTGTAGCCTCTCTGGACCCTCTCAAGAGCGTGCTGGTCAGATTTCGACAGATTAGACTGTACCACTGAACAGTATTCCATACACGGCAATACATAAGTTTTGCAAAGCGATTTGCGAGATTCCGTGAGGTAAGATTGATGGCAGATGTAAGCGATGGTCTTCATGGCTTTCGAAACTTGTAGGTCACGTGACTGAATATCGCACGCCTAAGTCGCGAACTGCCCTCATTGCAACATATCTGCGCCCTACAGTAATAAACTATCTGGCGATAGTTGGTATTTGTACGACAAAATATTACACTCGTCCATGGCAAATGTCATCTGCCACAGTTGGCACCAGGAGTCAAGGGTAGATAGGTCATCCTGAATGATACGTACGGCTTCCTGAGTATTTGCATGTGGTTGTGAGTAGACAACTTTAATGTCATCAGCAAAGATAACTGCAACACTATTTCTTATTCTCTGGAATATATCATTAATATAACTTAGAAACTGAAGAGTACCAAGAACACTCCCTTGAATCACAGCACTAGTGATTACTTTCCGTTAAGAGAAATGGTCGCCGATGCGCACCACCTGCTGTCTACCTACTGGATATGAAGACATCCAAGAGAACATCGGTTCTTTAATGCCTATAGCCTTCAGTTTGTTCAGAAATCTTCTGTGAGACACTCTATAAAAGGCTTTTTGCATACCCAGGAACAGGATTACAACACTGTTTCCATTGTCTATGGCAGCCGTTGTGTGGTTTAAACAGTTTGTCTGGCATGTTGCACAGGATCTTCTTCGCATGAAGCCGTGTTGCGACTTTTGCTGATAATGTTAGCCTTGTTCATGAATACAAATAGTTCCTCTTTTGCTATCCTTTCCATTATTCTAGATACGATGGGTGTGTGCTTGATGGGACGAAAGTTTTTAACCTGGTGGGCGGCGTCATTTTTGTGCCTATGCCTCAACCTCATTCTGTGACATCTTGCTTGCGCTGATTTTTTAGCTGCCACTTCTGCAACGACAGTATCTCTTCCTGAGTTTGTTCACTCGATTTCATGATCAACTGCGATCCACCGGTCGACAATTGTAGAGGCCTCAAAATCACCCATATTGAAAGGTCAATGGTTAAAAGTTCCCTACACTCTATCGCACGATTCGTTTCTTTAGTCCCGCGACCGATGGTCTTCCTTCATGGAGGGCCGCTTTAAGTGGGAACACACAGCTGTCAACTACTAGGCCTCTGCTGGTTCACCTTATACTGGGCATTCTTTGCAAGACCGTCATCTCTGGCCTCGGATCAATCCTCTTCCCTGTTGTGACATCTGCCAACGGTTTCAGACTGATGCACGCCTACAATTTTTACATACTACCAATGTCTTGTGGATTGAACCATCGACTAATAGTGAACTGCACATATCTCACTTCCTCATATGCCAAGTGTCACAGCTGTGACTCATGGAGCAAAGTTCCTCTGTCGGAGCGTTATCGAGAAGTATCATCTACTTTATGATCCCAGTCACATGTCCCCTTTCCCCTTTGACCTTTATCTTCCCGTCGCGTGTCCTGTCTTCACAATGCTTTTCCAGGCTTGTAACCTTTGCTTAACATAGTGGTCCGATCCGACGATGGTTGCGACTTTCTTTAACCATTCGTTTGACAGTTTTAACCAGACAGTACCACTACACCTGGAGAATTGGAAAAGGTAGAGACGAATCGTTCATGACGGTTTCAGTCATGCGGTTACAGGTACCAGATAGATGGGGTCGCTTGTCTTGTGAACTCCGAAAAGATATCCCCCTCGATCTTTAAATAGTCACGAGTTTAATGGTACACAGCTTTTTGAGAATGGAATTTCTCACGTACGCCATATAATGACAGATACAAACATGTGTGAGTAACAGAAGCGAAGGCGATCTTCGAGTCACTGAGGACAACCATGCTAGGTTCTCTGTAGATGCTTTGATGTTGAAGCACTCTCTAACGGAATGGACGCCAACCTGACTTTCACTGATTGTCCTCTTATGAATGTTAACGAATAGCGCACCTTGATTCATATCGGTGGTTTGGCGATGGGATGTTCTTTGGCTTTTTCAAAGTTGCGAATGATGATTTAAAACCGCTCCCAACGGTGTCAAAGAATGTATTTAAATCAGTCACCAGTGGGTCACTTCGTTTTCCACCATCAATGGTCGAAGGCCTTCAGAGTCAGACATCTTATTCCATATCGGCGACACTAGTTGGTATCATACCCTACATGAGATGCTGTGGTGTTAGCTATCGATCGAATAACAATGACTCCAGGCCGACCTATTGCTTGTTCGCGTCCATAGCTCCAAATTGATGACAGCAAGTGGATAATTGATCTGAAGTGGCGAGATCAGAACTCAAGTAATTGTCACTACTGGATCTACCAGTTGAAATGAGCCAGTTTGATGGATATCAAATAAGCTTGTGTCTTCTTAACTACAATGTTGTTCGAGGCCCAGACTTCGTTTTTGCTTCACGGAGGGCCATCACGACAATAAACGAGCCACCAGTTAAGATGGTTGGTCTCGGGTGGAACGTCCCTGTCGGAATGGGCAACCTACAAGTATCATCTGTCCACAACACGCCGTCGCCGGTAATCTCTGTAGTTCCTAATCCTTTTTAATTCACCTTGTCCCATGTTAAACGGCAAGGGTGTTATAATCGCGATTGTGTTTGGGCTTACAGCCGTCAGAACAATGGCTTCACCTCACCGGACGATGTATTAAGCAGGTGTCAAGTCACTTGAAACAGGCAAGACAGCCATAAACTTGGGTCAGGATCAGCGGCCTCAAGCACGTGAATCACAGTAGAACAGTGGGTGAGAGTGAAATTCACGCACCAGAGGCGCCTGATGACGGCACCGGATCGCCTGGGGTGACAGAGTCCAAACCTGACTTTATCAACCACGATCTCGTAGAAAATTGACTTTTCGGCCTAGGGTGTCACTCTTCTTGATCTCTGAACATACTCCGAGCTACTCTCTCCTGGGATTAGAATCTGGGTAAGTCACGTGTTTCTTCCCCGAGTGTAATTGCATTGATAGCATTGTTGATCATTTGCGGGTGCTTTTTGGTTATTTTTGAGTTCGTCGCAATCAGCCGACAATTCGGATAACTCAACTACAAATCCGAAGAAGCACCAGACGGCCATTTCCCCCTGTTGGGACTCTTCAGTAGTGTGCATCCTTCGGTCCTTTTCCGAGGATCGCACCTATGACTACTAGTGGCTTGCGCCAACTACCCCGCAGCTTATACCACTGAATCACAGGGGACGGTAGCCGACCATTATGAATTGTTAGCTAACTGCATTATAGCCCGACCCATCCTCCACTACCATATAGGCACCTGTCCTGCACCTGACAGCGGTTGGCCTTCCGGCGTCAGGACTTCCCGGTTACGGCAACCATGAATCGACATAGCATTTCCGAATTCCGTAGGGGCGAATTTGTCTTACTTATGAGTAGAAAGATTTTAGCGAGTATTTTTGTATTCGTCACAGTCAGCCGACAATTCAGATAGCTCAACTACCAATCCGGAAAAGCACTATACGGCCGTTTCGCCCAATTGGGTCTCGTCAGTGGTGCGCATCCTTCGGTCCGCTTCCGAGGATGGAGGATCTGGTTATTTTAGCGTTTATTGTGTACCAATGTTGTACCCAATGAGTGACATCTGTAGGTAACTGGCCATTAAAATGAAGAAGCCATCTGAAGAGCCTAGGAGGGTTAGTGCATTCTGACTTCCTTGATTGCCCTCAGCGTTGATTGTATCATTAGTCAGATACGCTGTCGGACTTAGCGCATTCCGACATCTATCACGCTTCCGGAGTCTTTCCCCCAGTTCTTACTATTAACTACGCTACACGACGATATAATGTTTTGTCCATTCCTCTTGCATTATCATGACCCTTATTATTAAATGGCGTGCGTTAAGGCAGCGGGATCCACTAAACTTTTGAGGCTCGTGTCGTAGTTCATCCATGGAATTAAGATAACCAGCTATTGTTGTTTCCAGTTACTCCAGGTTAAACTTGCGCTATTTACTTGACGTTATTCATGGACCTACCCAGCGTTTATATTTCACCTTGCTTTTTGCTGCGTGTTGTCGGATAAATTTCCCTGATTGCTCGGCACTTTCGAAAGTGCCTTTCTCCTATTCCTTAAAACACACCTTCCTTTCATGACCGTTGTCTAGTTGTCATCTTTTCCTCCCTTACCCTATATTTTCTAGTTGGCACTCCCCAGTTCACAGCCATCCATCAAATCTTCCTCGCTTTCATCGGCTACTTCCGTTCCACAGCAAGTGCCATCTCAGTGAGTTGTAGTCTTTGACAACTTTTCTCACTCGGTACGGGTTTCGTTTGAGCAAAATGTCTGAGTCGCATCTGCTTTTCCGATGTACATCTGCGTCATCTTTCTCCTTTATCTCACAGCACTTTCATGACCTATCTTCCATTTCAACTAAATAAATATACCATATATTCCTCTACGGTGCGTAGAACGGTTCCTCTGAATGATCTGGTCAATTTGTACAACAATAATATGTAGCATACGTAATTGTTCACGTTTTATACAATGGATTCCAAACGAGCTTTTACAGCTTATCTTTTGATGGGTCTGGTTAATGGAACATCACAATTACAAATGGAACAGTGTCATCCTATTTTTTGTACCCCTCGCCTTTTTTCTAACAACTTTATGTGGTTGATCTTGCAATTTCTTCGCTTTTTACCACATGTTTCTACTCGTCAGTACTTTCTTTTAACAATACCGATTGACCAGTTCCTGTGATCCTCACAATGTTGACCATCACTACTAAAATACTTGTCTCTGGACTGTACCTCACCGATATATGGTAGTGGGCCCAGATACCCTCAGCTCACACCGCCGTAGTGTTTATGACTGATAAAGAGGTTCAAAATTAGAGGTAGCTTACAAATATGAAAGGTGTGAGCGAATGCTTTTACGCGCCCCATCCAATCTCCTGATTTCTTGGCCTTTGGGTGTGGTCGCGCACTCTTGTGTGGCATGTTTCTTGTGCCGAATCGACTAACTTCTGTCATACCATCAACTAGACACTCGTTAACCTCTGTTATTCCATGGTTAACTTTATGGGTTCGTGTCTACGTTGACTTTTTCTGGGGGCATATAACTAGTATCTTTTCATTACGTTCAGTGTGTGTCCCTCCATCGAACTAGAAGTAGAACACTCAGTTGAAGATTTTCTAGGGTTGTAACCCGAGATCTTAGTCTGGCTTTGGAAGCATGGACATCGAATTAGTGATACATCGTGGGATTTCCCCATATACTATTCTCGCATCTTTTCATTCCAGCAGATGAAGAAGTAGCCATCGTTTTGACTTAGAAGAGTACCGCCCTACAGTTAGTTGGGATCCGCTCGAACACAGCCGCAGCAAGCCATCTAGATTTGCTAACAATCTCACTGATCCTTATTTATATCGATCAGTAAACCCGCTTTATCTCAGGACATTCGATAATTTTTCCAACTCCTCCGAGATGTGATTCTGAAAAGATCACAGTGATTACCTCGCTATGGTGGAAAATGGAGCAATTATTCCATTCATTCGCCGGCTTGATCGCTTAATGCAACGTTTATAAGACAATTCAGCCGACTTGCTGTGTCAGCGATATTCACTGAACTACTGAATACCATTTTGTATATTGGCCTCCAGATTCCTAACTTCTAAGAGATCCGATTTAAACTGCTGGCAAAAGCCACCTGAACCGGTGCGACTTATCTCCATTGTTTCTGGCTGACGGTGACTCACTGATGACATGTCTGGTCGCGCTATATTTAACACTCTATGCTTCTCTGAGTTGAAATCGGGATGATTGAGGTCTCCTTCAAATTAGACCGAGTTTCCGATAGAGATTACATGTCGAAGCCCAACCGCACACCGGGTATTCGGAAGCCCGCCTTCAAATTTCCAACCGCTGTATCAAGCGTATCCCTCGCGGATTTCAGTGGCATCTGCCGTTAACCACTAAATCTTGAGTTTAACTCCCAACTTCAGCTATCTCTACCTGATGGGTCCAAACGAGGGCGAAACCGGTGGGTCTTGGAGTGCAGCATTAGGAGCGGACAGTACCGGAACCCCGCCCCATTCTCTGAGTTGTTACAGACTAATTGCTATCGGTCGTTTTCTCTATTCTAGAAAAGATCACCGATGTGAATTTATTTGAGTCTTTCGCCTCATAGAATTTCTCTTTCAGTTAACCGGTCCGCTAACTGGTCGTGGCACCGATAATAATGGGACTCACTTTGTTCGGTGGCCACACCGAACGAACTCGTACACACAACCTCATGGGTCTAAGAGAGTCTGTGGCTGGCTGTGGGAAACTGACGAAATCAGTCAGTCCTCTTCGGCGTGAACGAGTCTACGTCTGGACATGCGAGTAAGCAGCCAATTGTAGTGCACCACGACAATGTGATAAGCATTAGCGACTGCCAAATATGGTACGAGTGATAGCCAATCAGTCACGTGATGGGCGATCGGACGAATTAAGACAGAGACGCAATGCACTTAATTGGAATCAAAGAATATAAAAATTAACGAATGGGCAAACAAAAACGAAACAATACGCCGTCATCACTCGGGTAAACGTTTGGGTTTTCCGGAGCAACTATCGCACATTGTTGCCCATTTTCTCCCTTTTGTTAGCCATTGTACTCGAAAACCCTGGGTTAGTCTTTTTCCAGAGTAGAATCAACGATGTTTGATAGCATGCGACCTCATTGTGTATTTCTCCCTACTAATCTATCTTGTTCCGCAAAGTACACGGGTCGCCCTCCTGGATTGAACCTCGGTATAGTTTGCTACCCCATCAGGAATGTCGTAACCACCACATCTGTGACTATCTCACATTGGTTCACTTATTTCTGACTTCGAATCGCTCTACCTGCCAACTTAATTTTTTACTTCCTTTTTTAACCAGTTAGTGTATCCTTGTTTTTTGAAGACATAAGTACTCTACTTCCGTTATATTGTCTCTTTGATTATAGTTTATCAATTGACTAACTGACAACCATTGCCTCTACTGGCCTTATTTTAGTGCTGTCTTCCACTTGCACAATATTCGTCTACCAACACCGGCAATTACTTTGACTACTTCTTGGGATGTTTCTGCACCCTCCTTATCTCGTCTCGCTTTCAGCTAACTCATCTTCCACCCGGTTCATACCGACAAAGTCCACTGGAAAAGTGGATGTATGGCTCTCTGTTCCGGGAAACTGCTGTCGTTCCGTCCATCAACGAGGTTGTCAAATGTGTCAGGATATCGCTAACCTGGTTGAGCGACGTTTTCTCTTGGTTGTTAAACTGTCATTCTTCTCGGAGTGAGTTTGCATTGTCTACACAGTTCGCAGTTCTCCTTTTGGGTTTCTGTTTGTTCGTAGTCAAAGCGCTTACCACCTTTCCCTTCTCTTGTGCGTTGGCTTCCATTTATCGTTTGCCACAAGCGCTCACCCCATTTAAACTCTCTGTTCACTTCTACTCCGTGTATCCGCTATGGTTCATGCATTGAGGTATGGTGAATTCGGTCATCTATACACACGTTGTCAAATTAATAACGACGAATATAATATTAGTGCCAATTCAAGAGAAGTGAAACGAGTCATCCGACTGAATTGTCAAAGGTCTTAGATGAGAGGATGAGTGTAAGAGTCATGTTGAATCCGTGATGGTGCCGTATTTGAATGAGTATCCGACAACTGATTTGGTTGATCACAAGGTCCTCAGGTGGATAGACCACCATAAACACAACCAGACACAGTCACTCGGTGGATTTCTTCATGTTCTCACCGACTGTCCTTCTCGATACTTCACCAAAATGAACACCGCAAAATCACCGAGGGCGCCGGTTGGCAAGCATGCGGAGTACATGATCGAGCTGGCGGTTATTATTATTATTATTATTATTATTATTATTATTATTCACGCTAACTAAAGGTGTGAAATACCTCAGCTATTGCGTCACAATGTAAAATGGTAACATTCACGAAAACGGCATAGTTACCATTGCCGATTTCAAAATAAACATAAAAGCCAGTACTATCATATTATGCTCAGTATTATATTCGGCATCGGGTATGAGATCTTACTTGGAGGGGGAAGATAAACAGGAGGGAAAGGGACAGTGAAACTCACAACATAAACGTAACTGAGGTCGAAATTTCCCGTGTCAACAAGTGTGGCCAAGTCAACGCTTGGCCTCCCGTCCTCTCCTTCCATCCACATCCCCGACGCGCAAACAATTCATGCCGCGAGAGTCGGTGTTCTCGCATGCGCAACACGTGGCCCGGCCATCGGAGCCCTGTGCGTAATGTAGCGGTGCTGAACCTTTCACTCGCTCTTCCTGCACTAACTACACGACTTCGAACACGCTCATTGCTCACATGGTCTTCTCACCAGACATGAGTCTCTTTAAGTTTGCCGTTCTGATGGGCCAGGTTTCCGCAACCTTACAGATGGTTGCATTGTAAATTCTGTTCTTCCAGCTGGCTGCCTGGGTAGTACATAGTAACAAAAGCGCCTCGAGCATTCGCTGGACGGTTCGTGACTTCATCTTCCACTTCACAGACACTATTTATCCTGTTTCCATACACCATATTAATTTATGTTTTCAGTTCACTGGTTTGCAGGTTCATGCATCGTACCATAAAGTAGAGTACGAACAGATAGTCAGGACAGATTTGGGCAAATACTCACGTAGCATTTGTTGCCTTGTTGGGATTTTGCTCGCATCCTTGTATAGTGTAAACGTTGGTGGTATGCTCACTTGGTTTTGTTAGGGCGTTTAGATTGTCCACCATTGACAGGAGAAGGCCATCTTGATGAATTGGTCCATGAATGACCCTAGAACCCATCGTTTTTGATCAGGAACCCGCATCAAATGTGTACTTGCGCTTTTATGTTCCATCCAAAATTGACTTTCCTTCTCGTGCATCCCCGTTAGTATACCATTTTACCGTCATTTACTAGCCGTTCCTCTACCGGTGTTGTGCTCTACATCCTCTTTCAGGCTCTGTGACACCAAATGATAGTACATCTACTTCGCTCGGTACTTCTTCAGAGATTTCGTTCCAGTCTCAGCTCACGAAAGGTGCCTTGGAATTATGTAATTCCTGGGCCTGGACGTTTGGTTTGCCTATTACAGCCTCCTTGCCTTTGTGCTTTGGCTTTAATCGTTTAGTCTACGGTCGACCGGGGCAAAACCTATGGACCTACGGTTTGGTGCGTATTCGTTTCGTCACATTTGTGCGCATTTTCTTAACTTTACAAATGCTAGTTATTTTCGCGTTTTTCAGCAGAGAAGCCTTCCGAGGTTTAATTTTATTTTTCTGTTTCAGTCATCCGACAGCTTCTCGGACCCGTCAGCCAACGTCAGCGTTGACATCACTTCCAATCAATGGCATGAGCATTGTACTCGTGTAGTTTCATCGGCGTTTATGAACGTACTGAATCCACCGGCGGGCGGTTACTTGGACCAGACCTTCGCTCTCTGCTTATCCTTAGCTACGTCCGTTGAAGAAGCTATTGGCACAGTTCGCAATATCATCTCGTCAAGTCGAAGTTCACCGAAGAAAATGTTGGTGAGGACTTAATGTCCTTGTCATACTCCTGTCCGCCTCCTTTGGAAATAATCTCTTTTCCATTTCCTAGCGATCTATGATTCATTTTTTGTTATTTTAACCACCAGTTCGATGACCTTTTCTTAATGTGTCAGGTGGCTCTCAATCTTGTTTCGCTCATTTATTGCTTCGGAACTGTGTGCTTAAGTGTGGGCGGATTCCAATGGCCTTTGATGTCGGAACATTTGAACAGGTTCTAAACCGCTTTTCTGTTTTCGCCCATGACATTGGTCTTACCTCTAGGTTACAATGCTTCCGTGCCCGGTAGGAGGGACACGGGACCAGCATACCTCAAACCAATAAGGGGTTACCTTATTGGGATGATTACGATTGCATTAGCCGGATGCACTAGATAAAGTTGTTCCAGCCTCGCACGAGCGACGCGCAGTGTAACTGCGCATATAGGGTGCCGAATTGGTCTGGAAAATGCGGGCGAACGACTTGCGCTAACGAACCCAGTTTGACGATAGATGAGACAACTAGAGTTGTTCAACTAAGCAAGCGAAACCGTCGAGTGACCAGCGGACGGAATGCGACTCAAGTCCCGACCAGAACCAGGCGGACAATGTGCAACCGGTGTAGCCAAGCATGCGACAAACTCAAGTGGACGAACAGCTTGTGCGGACTAGTGAACAAGAACTGACGGTATGGGGCGCAATAACGAGAATTAACCAATACAAAGCCGCCAGAACGAACCTACGTCTCAAATTTGTATCAGGTACCATTGATTTCACGGTTAATGGGTAGCAGATTTTTATCGCTACCCATACTTCCTTTTGCTTATCGGAGGACTGCACGACACTTTTATGCTTCAATCAGTTCTGCCCTCAGCCGCCCGTGGGATTGAAGATGAAATCACGAATCGTATAGCAAAAGCTCGGGGCGCTTTTGCTAACCTTCGCCACTTATGGCGCCGGCGCGACATCACTCTTGCCCTGAAGGGTAGAGTGTACAATGCAGCAGTACGTTCCACCCTATTGTACGGTTGTGAAACCTGGCCGCTTAAAGCACCGGACCTGAAGAGGCTAGTTACGTTCGACCACCGGTGCCTTCGTAATTTAGCTCACATTTGGTGGGAACATCGCGTGAGCAACGAGCGTGTTCGACGCCTTGTTTATGGCACAGGAAAAGGAAATGAACCGCTTAGCACCGTTATTTCACGCATCAGGCTCCGATGGCTCGGCCACGTGTTACGCATGCAGCCCACCGACTTCCGCGACGTGTGTTGTTTGTGCGCCGTGGGTGTGGATGGAAGAAGAGGAGGGGTGGCCAAACGATGACTTGGTCCAGAGGAATGAAGACACTCACTTCGGAGCTAGCCTCGGTTGGAGCGTCTCGGCTCCCTGGTTGGGGTCCCAAAGACGATGAACACGTTTGGTTGGACACACTTGCTGATATGGCTAGGAGCCGACCCCAGTGGCGTTCGTGCTGTGAGTTTCTTTGTCCCACCCCATCCCTCTTAGCCTCCCCCTCCAACCACGATCTCATTACTTAGCCTTATATAATTTTGCATAATAATTTTTTGGGTGCACAGCAGCCGGCTGGTAGCTTACCGGAACGATGCCCATCCGTTACCGGTCGCTCAGCCAGCTTTCACCAGTTGTTTTTTTCTCTCCTTTTTTCTTTGTATTGCGGCACAGTAGCTGAGGTGTTCCCCACCTCTAGCTAACGTGTATGATGGTGATGATGATGATGCCCTCAGCGTCACTTACATTTCATCCACATGAACGCGTGTTTACCTCTCCGTTGCTCATCTGACTAAACTTTCGACGGCCATATTTTGTTGTTCTTTGGTGCCAAGACCCCTCTCTAGTCTTCACTGTTTTTTTTCGAAGGCACTCTCGGCTATAGTGTACGCCTACCTGGTGGCCTCGTCCAACCGCAATCCTTCATTGCTTGAATTATCCCAAACAATGGCGAGGACTTGGCACTGGACCACCATCCTGCGATCCTTCAAGGTAACCACTCGATATTATCACTATGGTATCTTCTTACCCCAGTGTCACATCATTTTCCGACAGTGCTGATAGCGATACCACTCTTTCCACTCTAGTTTTCTTATGGTTTACGACCAAGTACTGCTTTCGTGCTACTCATGAGTAAGTGGTTTATGATGTAGATAGTTGGGGTCTCTTCGCAGTAGCTTCCAAATCGATGACGAGACTCAACAGGTCGACACAGCCGTCTAGTGTTTTTCCGGGCATTTGGAAGGCTGTTGGATTTACTAGTTCTGTAGTTAGTTGGATACGAGAACTAAGCGAACTTGAGTCGTTTGCAGCTTTGTATCTATCATGACCCAGCTATACGTCGAAGCCATCTTATTCTCTCCGTAACGTCACCACATTCAGATGGTAATCTATCGGTGCTCTTTAGTGTTGCCCGTTTTCCTGATCTGCAAGAATTCAGCTCATCTGACGCTCTTGGACGGCTTGGCTTCTTCCTTCGCATAGTTTTACTGTTGTGTGACATGCAGACATCTACTGTCTACTGCAGCAGTTGTAGTGAACGTTTTAATTTTCAAAAGCGTGTTGCCGTACATCTGGTGAGCTTATTTCCACTCCCTAGTTGCAAACCCTATTTTTCTGTGTTTCGTTGAACTTCATTGTAGTGGTTTGAGGCGGACATTTCCGTGCTATCTGCCGCTTCTCCTGGGGCGTTTTTCAATGCAATGCCACTCTTCGTTTTTTTGCGTACTTGATACTGGCTAGCTATTCCGTCACCAATGCGTTGGGTCGTTGTTCACAGCGGTATATTGTCGCATCATTCTTTGAGACAGCGCACTGATTACGCATTCTTTTCAGCCACTTTTGCCATTCACGTTCCTCATCCTTCTCGTGCATTTTGACGCTTCATATAGCCACTGAAGTCAGCGACGTAGACTTAACTAGTGTTATTGTCAGCATGGGTTAGTGACGGGGCTTTTGCTATCTTACTTCTCGTGGTGCTGACATTTTGCGTCAGAGGTGTATTCCGTATGTTTCTGCGGTTTTCCTCCTTCACATTCTTAAAAATTGTACTTCTAACATTCTCATTGCACACTTAATTCCGTTTATGGAGCTTATCCATTTTTCCTTTTATTATACGGTACTTTTGCCCCTCATATTTACTCCTTTGTAAGCGAGAAAGAGTCACAGGCATCTTTTTTCACCTATCCGCTGTGCGTTGTATTTCATCTTGTTTCAGGTGAATATGGTGCAAAATGAGGTCCCCTTCGAGGACATTTTGGATCGTTTATGTCGCATGGTTCCTTCGATAGAGCACGCCGCTTACCATTCACCCGTTGCAGTGTTGTGGTCGAAAAAGAAGTCTTCACCGCAACCAATCCCCTTGCCTTCTCTGCGTTTGCTTTGGCGTTTTGCGAACGACTTTCGTGTGGTGATTGAACCTTATCTTGTCGCTCATCTGAAACTGTTATTCAGCCTTCCGTTGGCTCATCCATCGCCTGAAAATACCAGGTAAGTTCTACCTGGATTCATTCACTTGAATTCTACTAATTCAATGACAGATTGTGAAACTCGTTCATTTTGGATGCCTCCTGCTCCGACAATTTAAATTCCTTCGGTGCTTTTCTCACGTCTCTTGTCTTCCTTTCATCATCTTTCAACGCACCAGCTCGTCGCACGGGTTCCACTATGAAGTACAACGGTAGTTTTAACAAAAATTAAGCAATGCGCAGATCTAATGTTGGGCCTGAACTCATGAAGCATGAAGATGCAGTAGCAACGCGAAGCGATAGAGATCCCTTGTGACCCGCAACGCTCTGCATCACCGTCATCATTAACCCCTAGAAGGCGTAACAACATACAGCCTACAAACGATCCACTTTAGGTGGTAGCGAACTTCTCGCATGTGCTGATCGCGCGTCGGGTCCTGGGATGTCGCGAGCCATTCACATGTTGAGTTTCCTGAATCGCGACACAGCATGTGCGATGGACAGTTGCACCAATTGTATCGGTTGGCCTTTTGGTTTTCCGTCCCACATCAGCTGTAATCACTGTCGGATCTCATGTCATCTGCATCAGGTTAACAAAAAGGGGCTACGCACACTCGAGTCAAGGCAACTCACTGCCTCTGTTTGTTTGGTAGGCATGTTCATCATCGTCGGCTACCCACCGGACTGTCTAATCACTGCGGGCTAGCTGATTCCACCTTGCCCTGGTTATGAACCGTAGGTACCGATGGTTAATAATTTCAAAACCATGCGTCTGAAACTTCGCTACCGTACGGTAAGTCCTTTTATGCATTTAAGATCTTCAGGACGACGTGCGATCGGCACCCAGTAGATCACAGCTGACCCCAATACAGCCTGAGATATCTTTTATCACATAAACGTTTCGTTTCAAATGTGATCCTTTCCGGTCAAGGACAGATCAGTTGGTTGACTCAGCTGTGTTCCTAAAATACAAGTCCAAAGCTGTGGCTGGTCAACACCATGTCTTCGTGGAGGGATTCGCTTTCGGTATCCCAGTTACTGTCGAACTTTTGCTTTCAGGAATAATGGGGTACCAAATTTGTTTCTTTGTCATCACGCGCACTTTAACTTACGACTCACTAAGGAGGTTGTAGCATTTCACCCGACACAAGATTTAGATCACTCAAAACATGTTCTCATCCCATTTTGGCCTACACTTGGATACTGCGGTAGACGTAAGCCTTGATTTGAGACTTTGGATAGCATCGTAGACTACTCGGATTTACAAGTAGACTAACTCTCCTCAGCAACCAGAAAGTGGTATGGATATCGTGACATCACGGTGCACTTGTTGTAGGCCACTATACGATCGGCTTCGCGGGAAAGAGAACAGCGCACTGCAACTAGCTTATCGAGTGTACGGAACGATTCAGGCAGAAGAAGTCTCCTTAACAGTTTCATGCAACCATTTCCCTTTAAGAACTTTAAATGTACATGAATGAAAACATTTCAGCTGGCCAGGTATCCTGAACCCAGTGTATTTCGCGTATTCTCATTCAGCCACATACATTATAGTAGTGAAAACTGTAATTGAACGAAAATGAAGAGGATTCAATTACAAGAGTATGTTTTCTGGAATGAGGCTAGCCACTTTCTTGCCACCATGTCAGGATAGACTTTATGCGCCAGGATTCGCAGTTTCATCATTTTACCATAGGGACTATGATTCTTAAATGGAAAGTAACTAAAGCCAGCTCTATTCTTTCGTCAATGGTTTATCAAGAAAAACAGCCCAAGGACTTGGTGCACATGAAGGTTTTTGTCTGCTTGCCTTTCCGAGGCGCTTTTGCCACTCTACCAAACCAAACGACTACGCTGAGAACTTACTACACTGCTCACTTCGTTATAATCAACCAAATCCGAAATTCGCCGGTTCCTCCCACGAAGAAATTTTAGCCTATCGAGGCTAACTCTCTTTGTGTATACCAATACCTGTGTAACTACGGAACCAGTTACATAATCAGAACTTATAGGATCCTGAATTCCCTTATAAAGAGACATGTGTCAAGATGGGTTCAGCGCGAAATCGCCCAACCCCCTCTTAACCCCAGGTGGTCACGCTTCACCGGATAGAGGTTGGTTCAGCATTCACCTTTGTGTGACGTTACTCGAATCCCCTCTTCCTCAGTTTCGCCGAGACTGTCGCGATAAGCCCTTTAAAACCGGCTCTGGGTGTTCAAAAACAATCATTTATCAGCTTTAGGGATGCCATGTACGTAGGGGCAAACATTCTTCATTCACTCTGCACCCCAAGCTTGTCTGATCGTACCCATTGTTAGCTATGTCTATGTATATCAGCCATTGTTAATGGTACTGAGGAGACAATACAAACTTCATGCATCTACTAGTGCTTTTCAGATTGTTGATTTCACACGAAAGCATTCCAGGTACAGTACTACGGACTCATGATATGCTGCACCACGGAAAGCCAGATCTGTAAATTTGATATGGGTGAAGAAAAGGATAGAGCTCCTGATAACTCCTCTTACAACGAGTGTGAAGAGCGTCTTAGATCTTTAAAGCAAATACCATGCATGCGTGAACAAGGAGCCTAGCCAGACAATTCCTAGGTAAGCTGCGGCACTTGGAACTATTCCTCATCGATCTCACTAGCAAGAATGGCATAACTGTGTAGAGAGGACGAATACAGTCACCGTTACAAATTAACTCACGAAATTCTTAACGGTATAATTCGCTAACATAGGTGAACCAGAATAATTTGTGGAATGAAGAGACAAATTGCTACGCATCACTGGATGAGTTAAATATCGCACATTCAGCGGTGGTGGGAATTTCCTACAACTTATTAACAGAAAGTAAGGTACTGGGATGCTTACCTCACGAGCCTATTTAAACCTTATTGAAGCAACAGGAGTTCTCATCGCTAGAAGCAGCACTGTCAAGAACAACATCGTCAGCAAATTTGCAACCACGAAATTATTCGGTATCTAGATTTAAAAAAAGAAAAGTGAAGTAATAGTTCTCTACCAACGCTAGAATTAACCAAAGTACATCACCAGTGTTGCGCTAAAATCTCTGCAGTTAACACCAAGCCTTTCATCTGTTTTCGATGAATTTTGCCGCTCTCCAACTCGCTTATTAGTTTGTACAGTTCCTGCTCTCCATACTCGCTCGGACATTTGAGTCGATTTCACATGCTACACCATACCGTCATTTTTAAATGACTGTATTTTTGGAGAATTCCAAACAACCGCTCGGCAACTTTTGATAGGAGCTCTATAGTTTGAACCTCGTCTAGTTCTACTGACTGGGGCTTGGTCCTCTCCATTTTGAGCTCGAGCTTTGTACAGACTTTTTGCCAAAAGAGCTTCTTGAGAGTTCTCCTTTTTGAATTAGTCACAAACTGCTCTTTAATACGAAAGAGAGCACTGACACTCTTCCTTATTGCCACATTGTCTTCTGCCTTATTGGGTGCAACAGCGCTGATTGGCAGGAGCCGTCTGCAAGTGAGTGCACGTTGTTCTCACCAGCATTTTTTGTCATCATGAGTAGGGGATTTTGATATAATTAATTGAGGTTCTTCGCAGCTAGCTTCCAAATCAGATAGTCGTCCACATGCCCGGAAAAGCACTAGACTGCAGTTTCAGCCTGTTTGGCACCATCAGTAGTGCGCACTACTGATGATGTCCAGCAGGCTGAAACTGCAGTCTAGTGCTTTTCCGGGCATGTGGACGACTATCAGATTTGGAAACTGGCTGCGAAGAACCTCAATTATTTATACCAAAATCCCCTACTCATGAGTAGATCAAAATGTCTCCGCGGTAACAGTTTCTAAATGCTATCTCGTACATAGCTACTGTTAGTGGACGTCGTGTCTTTCGGGGCCAACTCTCTCCTCTGCAACGTTCGTAACTTGCATGGCAGTGGAGGATAAGACGCGCTATATCGCAGTTAGCTTGTAAATCATGACGGTCCGAAGCTGTCCCCGTGGCCTAGTGGCATAAGCTGCTGACTGACTCTTCAGGCCGCTGGTATTCATGGGTTCGAATCCTGATGGATCCGATGGCTGCGCACTATTGATGATGCCCAGCAGGCTGAAACTGTCGTCTAGTGCTTTTCCGGGTATGTGGACGACTATCTGATTTGGAAACTGGCTGCAAACTACGTCAATTAATTTGTTGTGCTGTCTGTTCACTATTTTTCTTTGTCATATAGGCGCTGTTTTGTTTGGTTCCCGTCTGATCATAATTCTGTCGGAATTCTGCTAGATTCCCGCGGGCTTCTCGACTGCACGGATATCCTGTACAAGTGCCGTTACACTTGCTACCGCTTTTATCATGGATAACGGCTCCGCTTTTGCTTTCTCGAAGTTTTGTTTAATTCATTGAAGTTGTCTGATCACTGCGAAGCAACCAATCCATCTTCTGAGATGACGATGATGCCACAACCTCCGCCCTTTTACACTGAGGGTAATGGAAGGACGAAATCGTCGGTCGCATAGTGCAGATCGAGGAGAGAGCCACACCGAAACCCTCAACTAAGTAACAGTATCTGTTGGTCCCGGTACTAGTATCGCCTGTATGAACCGTTTTTACACACAATTCCAGCTTCAGATGTTGGATGTAGTTTGTCTCTGTAATGGATAAAAGCTGCTTACAGAATCCTTGTGAAAAGTGTTCAACCAGCGAGTAGATAACTTTGAAGTCATTCTGGGGTGCGGACACTATTGCTTAGTTATTTGGTTTCTACCTTAGCTATTTCCTTTGGACTACTGAGATTTATATATTAATTTCAGAATAGCAAGAAGAAGTGGCGTTTCAGTAGTGTATTCTAAATCCAGCTATTTTTGTATCCTCTCATCAACTTTTGATAATCATTGGAACTACTGTTATATAACACACAATGGCAAAACGGGCTATAAAATCGTTCGGTTTAAATGAAGCTAATCGACAACACCTCACCAAGTTACTTCAACGGTAGTCAGTAATTCCGCCTGCTTACATAAATTGTCTTCAGCCTACAGATCACTGAGGCCTCTGGAAACTGAAACAAACGGGCTGTGTGCTCTGTCGACTAATGGTCGGCCTGTAGCCTAGAGGTGTAACGATCTTGTGATCCTGCGACGCTGGTTCCCATCCGCGTAGGGGTGGGTATCCTCGCGTTATACTCAACCCGCGTGCGACTGGTGGTGGTCGTACGGCAGCGAAGCGCCGTTACGGCGTGCACGTAACAAATTACAATTACTCTATCGACTAATGATCCTGAACGATTCACGTGGATGCTGGCGAGTAGGGCCATCGAGTATGTGCCGGGCAACAGAGCTAGCGGACAACTTCGGGCCGTCTGCCACCATTTTGCGCGGGATATGCTCTGAAATCCGCGTGGATAGCCTCCCGTCAGTTCTACCCACGTACTTGCTCCGGCTAGTACGTGTATGTTACATAGCAGTAGTTCCGCTGATTGTCTGCCAACAGCTGATGAGAGGACATGAAATATCTGAATCCGGAATACGCTGTTGAAAAGCTGCTTCTTCTTGCTATTCTGAAGTTTGTAAAGGGGAAGTCTTGTATGAAATATCAATATTTCTTTAGTTCGCCTGATTTACCACCTGTAATCGTCTTAAGTTGTCAATTTCGACCGTTCAAGCAGCTTGGAAGTCAATCCTATCCTAGTTTGACGCTTTCTACACATAATCAGTGCTATGTAAATGATTGGGTCTGATGAGATTTTTCCAAAAAGAACTGATTTCTGAACTTGATTCTTATTAATGAAATGGGAAAGTTCGTTTTTCTGAAGACCAGCATTACCTGTGATTCATTGAAGCCTATCTTTTCTCATTTCGCTATTTTTCAGTATCCAACAATTTTGGGTAATTATGCGCGCCCGACCAATTTTCAAATACCTCTTACTCCAAATGACTAAGGGATCTTTGAACACCGACTTGAAGACTCTGCTGGAAGACCTGATCCAGTCCACATCCCCCTACGATCATGAACGCCTTCGTTTCATCTTCTCTATGCTCAGTGAATGCAGCTCTTCGTCAGTGGATCAACGAGTATGTCCCTTTTCATAACTATTGGATTTCCCCTTTTAGGTATGCAGGGCAAGTGGCCATTGTTTCGTCAGTCTACTTCTCAGCTGTTGGTGTGTATTTATTAGGATTTGCACACTTCTGCAATTGTTCCTACCACACAGTTGTCTCCATTGATTCCCGATCCTCTTATTATCACCATCCACACGACGTTTGTGAAGCATTTTGGAACAGTGAAAAGTCTCCATTGGCGTCAACGCCTATTGTGTTGATTTTTTTTCACTAAAATGATCTGCCATCACTACTGCTCTTATCCGTTTGTTGGGGTATTTTCGATACGTTGGGAGGTTCGTCACAGCCAAGTTCGGTCAGGCAGGTATCACACTTTCTTAAAAGCATAAAATTGACGTTTCGTCCCACTGAGACCTTTCCTGAGCAGCGCATATCTCATCGAATCCTGTAGGATTTGAACTCCCATCTTTTTTCGTAAAGCAGTGTGCTATCATTTTGTTGTGGAGACCAACTCAGGTTACCTGGATGTTGCCGCCGAGCCGCTTGACGGGTGCTCCTACCATGTTGGTCAATCGCTAGAGATCAGACGAACTCAATTTCTTGGTCCTCCAAGTTGGGGATTGGAAATAGGATGGCGTCCATGTCTGTGAAACCGGATAGCCTTGCGAACAGAGTTTTGAATCAATGGCTTTCTTTATGGGTCTTAACCCTTCTGTCGTCTTGGTTTTCGCCTCCTGGCTGAGTTATCTGCGAAGCAGTGAAACGGCTAAGAAGCTTCTTTACCCATCCCGCCTCACCCGTTTGATCGTATGTTCTGTGCACCTTGACACTGAATGTTTGCTTAGAGCATTTTGGTTTTGAACTAGGTCTCGTTTCTTAACCATTGTTATTATTCATTCCCTAAATCATTCAGATTGTAGGATAGCGAAGCATCAGTTCAAATGGCTTGTGCACTACTGTTGACGACAACCATGATGACAACCAAAGCTTGCTTACTGTACTTTTATCACTCAATGTCGATCGGGCGAATCATCCCCTCTCACTCATCGTAAGCGGCGGTTGACCAGCAGTGGTAACAGGTAGTCGTGTGGAGTGGGTTGTTTACGGGTCTTCGTTTACGCACTCTTCATCCGACTTGCCAGTCGAAATTCGAACATTTGGACGACGTGAATTTAGTAGAGCTTTGTCACTCTTTTCATTCATTATCCTCACCAGCGACCAATCACATTAATCTTGCAAAAATGAAGGACGCCTACTTGTAACTACATTATTTAGCATCCAGTGGGTTACCTATTCTTCACATGAACATCTTTGTAGTAAACACCGCTATCTCTTTGAATGAAGCTGTTGATGGGTGCTCTGTTGTTTTACCCCCATCTTTATTTCAGTGTGTTCAATTACTCCATCTACTTGGAACATACCAAGGCTCTCCAACCACCTTCCCTGGCGGGGATGAGAACGAACCCTACTTTACTGCAAGTGGTCTATTGTCCATGAGTGTGGCTATTCTTTTCCTCATTTTAAACTTTGATATACGCGCCCTCCGTCTTAAATTGATTTCGTTTGCATATCGCCCATCACAATAAGGCTAGATCTTAACATGGTACAATACTTTGCGTGCCTCAACGACACATTGTGCAATGCTTCGTAGTGCATTTTGCATCTACCGATCCATCCGTACCAGATTTGTCAATGATTAGCGGCAAAGTTGGGGTTCGGAGTGAGGGTGACACCTTATTCCTTAAAACGGACTCTGTGTAGCCCACTGTTTGACTCCCGTTGCCCTGCGGTTACATTCTTGAATCGAAAGCTTTGGGTGAGCGCTCTACTCGTTCTCTTGTCCAGGTCTTGACAACCTGACTGTATCTTGTCCACGCAATACAATGAATTTCCCTTCGAACAATTCCCTGATCCTCCGGCCACCAGTGCTTCCTTACCTGTTGCATCGAGCAGGGTGGATAGAGGTGGGGGTGCTACTTCTTAGACCTTCCTGTCTTCTTACATTTTTATCTTTACCCTTTCTATCAAGCTGCACTATTATTTCGCCCCGTTTTCAGCCTTCAATTCTGGACCCTCCTTCACCTTACTTTGATAGGCGTTTATCTGCTGATTTCGACTCACCTGTAATCGCGGTGCGTCACTTTTGTCTCATCGACAAGTCCCATACCCAACCATGCGGACAACCCCGATTCATCCACTTCTATTTAGAGCCATCAACTTACTGAATACTTTACTGAGGGATCAGGTCGAAATTTAACTCTGCACGACACAATCGAAATATTATCAAAAACATTAAATAGGCAAACTATGACTTGTCAAGACTCTGATCGTTTTTCACGTTCTCACATGATATCGTTAGAAAATCGTTCGGCTCGGTAGATTAGGACTCACAAATGTGAGATGTCTGTGGGTAACCGTTCTCGGAAGCTAACATTTGCGAAATGCCCAGCACACGATCCTTTGAACTGCTGCACTGAGTTCACTTCCACCATATGTTCCGGCAAACCGTTCCAGACATTCACCACTCTCCGTTCCAAGCACAGGGTATAAGGAACTCACTTCATATCCGAAACCACGAGCTTGTATTGGTGTCCGCGTGTGCTGCAAGGCATTCGCAAGTGGAGCAGTGGAGTAAGCATGGGTCATGATGAGATCCACACGTAACCAACGATACGCTAGGGTGTACAGTCCCAGCATCTCACACCTGTTCTCTTATGGCAAACCTCGCAAATTTGAGATAAACCTAGTAGCGATGTTTTTAACCCGTTCAATCTTCACCTCGCCGCGAGTGGTCGCGCAGTAGGCAAGCGAGCCGTACTTTAGCATTATTCTGGTGATGGAGGCGAGTGGCAACCTCTTCAGCCCGGATGCAGAAATTGCGTTTGAGCGTCCAGAGCATGCGCAATCCGTTACGATATAACCTGTTCGTTTTGTCGACGGACTTCAAGTCACAACGTGGAATATAGCAGTTGGCTGTCGCCGGTGTAGGTTCGGTCATCACCATCCTTCCCCAGTCTTATGGATGCCGACTTCGTTGGGCTGACTGGGAGGTGAACTTCTGCAGCTCCCATGGAAAGGCCGCAGTCGTTGGATGTGGCTATCACTCTCGACATCTTCAAGTCGTTTACAAACAGGGCACACAGTGACTGAAGGAGCTGAAGTAGGTAGTTGATATAAATCAGGAATAATGTAAGCCCCAGCACCGTGCCTTGGGTTGCGCCACTGGTCGAAGGATACCAGTCGGTTAGGTTGGTTATCGATTTATACCCTCCACTTTCTTCCATCGAGGAAGTCCTGGGTCCTCTGGGATCCACCAACGCAGTACTCTGCCAGCTTGAGGAGGGTGACCTCATGCTTTGCCTTACGAACGATTTGATGTAATTGATGTATATCACGTCATCAGACTTCCCGTGCTTCACTACTTGTAACCATGCCTCGTCACTTAGTTACAGATCAGTCAACAAGCAACACTTTCCCGAACAATAGAGGCCATATCGGTCGATATCTTCTGCTTATCGGAAATTTGCCTACAAAATTTATTTTTTGTGTTTTCTCTCTGACCATCCTCACGTAACACTGATCTTACTTTCTCGCTGCGTCTATCCGGAATTGGTGCAGCTTCGAATGCCGGTTAATTCGGCTTAGACATTCCTCTGAGCTTCCGGGACTAAAATTGCGCTGGTCGACTGGATTCCAATCAGTGGCTCGTTCAAAGCTCTGGTGTTGTGCTTGGGCCATTGACGCCTGTTTGTCATTACTTTCTACGCCCTCACAAACTGTAATACTGACTCGGTGAAAGTTGACTTCGATCATCAGCTAAGCGAGCTCTTTCTTCACAGAACAACTACGGATACTGGGTGGTAATCTATACGTTCAAGTGAAAATTTTTCCAATGTTGGACTGCATCTGGATGGCTCCCTTATGGTGAACGGTGTGTAGTTGTTAGCGTGTGAAAATGCTCGTCTATTTTTCCTGATACAACGCCCATCGGAGAGTGATATGGTAAACGCCGACGCCGAACCATTCATGGACTTAAAGTGACAGCGTTGCGATCAGTTACCGTTGAACCTGCGTCTAGAAATGTTCTGTTTAGAGCACGAATGTGGACTCCGGTCATCCACTTGTAGGTGCTTGACTTAGTGATGTGTTACGCATGCCAGCCCACTGACTCTTGCTATGTGCGTTGTTTGCGCGACCAGAATACGGACGGAAGAATACGAAGGGCGGTCAGCTAGGGACTTGCTCAGGAGAAAGGACAGCTCTTACTTTGAACTTGCTCTCGGTTGATTCATCCTACTCCCTGTTTGGGGTTCGAAAGACCATTCACACGTTTGGTTAGATCTACTTGTTAACATGGCGAAGGACCGCCCTCAGTGGTGTTTGGCTTATGAGTTTCTTTACACTTGCCCATCCCACTTGGCCTTCTCTTTCAACCACCATCTCCTCGTCTTTGCATACCATCAAACAGCATACTAATATTTTTGGTTAGCTTTCATTAACTTTTTATTCTCTTCTACCATCTAATTATACTGCGGCAAAATATTTGATGTGTTTCTCACCTCTAGCTAACGTCTTACTTTTGATGATGGTACGATTCGTAGATCTTATGTAGCTGAACCAGCACTGAGGCTGAAATCCATCCTTACACCTAATATGATAAACATTTTTCGTCACTACGATGTACGTCTCTCCGGAAGCCGGTTTATGACACATAGGAATGGGTTTAACCTTTGTCCACCTAGTTATTCTTCTGATGTGCGTATATTTTCGTAACTTATGTTTAATTAGTTAAGCAGCTCATTTCAATTGATGCACAATTCGCTTCAGCCACTACGGTCGGTGGCTCAGTTCAGCAAAGTCGCATAGCCTAATGAGCTAGAAGCTGGGCGCTTGTATGGGTGCGCACCCGCTTTCACTGTTTCAGCTTAGATCGCTTAGATCTAATTTCAACTCACATGCGAACGCGGAGCGTCACTCCTCTCCTGTCGACAAGCCCATGTCCAACCAAGCGGTCCATTCCAGTTCATCGGCTTCCATTTAGAGCCCTCGATCCTCCTTCAGATTAGCATGTCTCAATGTACGCACATTACTACAGATCGGTCAACAGGCAGCACTTGCCCGAACATTAGAGACCCTCTCGATCGATATCTGCTGCTTATCAGAGACCCGCCTGCAAGACTCGAGCACTGTGCTCACTTTGCGATCCCTTTCAGGTGACGCAAACAGTATTTTCTCAGTGCGCCTATCCTGTGACGATGCAGCTTCGAGCACCGGCCAAGCTGGTGTTGGCATTGCCCTGAGTCCCCGGGCTGAAACTGCTGTGGTTGGTTGGATTCCAATCAGTAGCCGGATGTGTGCGGTCCGATTGTCTGGCTCGTTCAAAGCTTCTAAGTCGCGCGGGACTAATAGGTGTCTATTCATCATCGCTGCCTACGCGCTCACAAACTGTAGTGATGATTCGGTAAAGAACGACTTCTACCGCCAACTGACTCAGCTCCTTCGCCACAGAAGAAGCACGGACACTGTTGTGCTGGCGGGGGATATGAACGCACAAGTTGGAAAGTTGTCCACTGATGAAATGCATCTGGGCGGTCAGCACGGTGTAGGCTCCCGTAATGATAACGGTGAGCGGTTGCTTCATTTATGTGAAGATGCTCGCTTATTTCTTGCGAGCACTAATTTCCGCCACAGCACCCGCCGGAGGGTGACTTGGCGCCCACCAGCCTCGAACCAGCCTTGGACGCAGATCGATCACATTGCTATCAGTTACCGCTGGAGAGGCTACATCCAGAATTGTCGCTCGATTTGGAGCACATGTGTGGACACCGATCATGCACTTGTATGTGCTGACATACGGATGCGTTTTGGCGGACGCCCACGACGATGCTGTGAGCGCATTGACACCAGCCAACTGACAAAGCCAGCTGTTCGGAATGCGTATCGAAGTACGCTGACATGCGAGTTGAGTAATCGCTCACTGGAGACAATTGTTGGTCACTGGTCACATGTTCGCCAGACCTTACTAGCAGCAGGCAAATCCTCATGTGGTGTCTAATAGCCAAAATGGACATTGGGTCTCTTCTCGGTCTCTGGAACTTATCGACGCTCGCCGGCATATCCCGGCTGGAAGCGAGCACAATGAAACTCGCATAGAGTTCCGGGCAAAACTCCGCGCTAGCCTGAAGAGAGACCACGAATCTTGGTGGTCTCATCGTGCGTCAGAGATGGAAGTGGCCGCTGCCCTTGGCAACCATCTTGAGTTATTCCGTCTGATACGGGAAACGGGCAGCAGGAGACCTGTGTTAGTGGAACAATTCGTGATGAGAGTGGACAGCCTATCCACAATTTGTCAAAGCGTTCGGAGCGTTGGGCTGAGCATTTTGAAAAGCAATTTAATCGGCTAGGATTGTTCGATTCGCCGTTCACTGATCGCCCTGCTCCGTGGGCTGTCCCTTTGGATCCACCCTCTTACTCAGAAGTCGAACGTGAGATCGGACTGTTGAAGTTGAACCAATCCGCGGAACCAGATGATCTTCCTCCAGGCCTCTTCAAATTCGGAGGCCCTGCTCTTGTTGATGCTTTACATGAATTTCCAGTGAAACTGTGGGAGCAGGAGACTGTCCCAACCGACTGGAGCCTCTCCGTTATTGTTCCCATCTTCAAAGGCGGCTCGCGCTCGGAATGCGGCAACCATAGAGGAATCAGTCTGGTCTCCATCGCCTCCAAATTGCTCGCCTCCATAATTCTTCACAGACTGACTGGCGCTCGTGAAAGCCAGATTCGTGAGGAGAAAGCCGGGTTTCGTCGAGGTCGTGGCTGCATCGACCACATCTTCACCTTGCGTCAGTTGTTGGAGCACCTTCACACATATTGGTGGCCCACCGTTGTCGTGTTCCTCGACATCAAAGGTGCCTTTGATTCGGTTGATCGATGTGCCCTTTGGAATTGTTTACTCAGGAAAGGTGTGCCCGAGAAATATGTGAATATTATCCGAGCATTATATGCGCGTAGCTCGGGCAGAATGAGGGCTTACGCCAAACTGTCGCCACCCTTCAATATCTCCAGCAGTGTGAGACAAGGATGCCCGCTATCACCTTGCCTCTTCAACTTCGCTATTGACGAAGCGATGGAGTTTGCATTTACAGGACATGACTTGGAAGGTGTGGAGCTACTCCCAGGAGAACGACTTCTCGAGTTGGATTATGCAGGCGACATTGCCCTCATCTGTGACAGCTCCGAGACGTGCCAAGCGGCACTGGACAGATTAGCACTGGTTGTCAGCCGCTTCGGGCTTTGCTTTGCACCGTCGAAGTGCAAAGCGTTCCTCCAAGATTGGAAGGGATCGCCTCCTGCGCTGACCCTTGGTGGGGATCAGCTAGAAGTCCTTCAGAAATTCATTTACCTTGGAAGTTTTATCAGCGCCCTTGGGATTGAAGATGAGAGCACGAACCGTATAGCAAAAGCTCGAAGTGCTTTTGCCAACCTTCGCCACCTATGGCGGCGGCGCGACATCACTCTCGCCCTGAAGGGTAGAGTGTACAATGCAGCGGTACGTTCGACCCTACTGTACGGTTGCAAAACCTGGCCCCTAAGATCGGCGGATATGAAGAAGCTAGTCATGTCCTGTAAATGCAAACTCCATCGCTTCGTCAATAGCGAAGTTGAAGAGGAAAGGTGCCAGCGGGCATCCTTGTCTCACACTGCTGGAGATATTGAAGGGTGGCGACAGCTTGCCGTAAGCCCTCATTCTGCCCGTGCTACGCGCATATAATGCTCGGATAATATTCACATATTCCTCGGGCACACCTTTTCTGAGTAAACAATTCCAAAGGGCACATCGATCAACCGAATCAAAGGCACCTTTGATGTCGAGGAACACCTCCGACCATCGGTGCCTTCGCAATTTAGCTCACATCTGGTATGAACACCGCGTGAGTAACGAGCGTGTTCGACGCATTGTTTACGGTTCAGGAAAAGGATCTGGACCGCTCAGCACCGTTATTTCCCGCACCAGGCTCCGATGGCTCGGCCACGTGTTACGCATGCCAGCCCACCGACTCCCTCGACGTGCGTTATTTGCTCACCGGGGATGTGGGTGGAAGAAGAGGAGAGGTGGCCAAGCGATGACTTGGTCCAGGGGAATGAAGTCACCTCACTTCTGAGCTGTCCTCGGTTTGAGCGTCACAGCTCCCTGGTCGGGGTCCAAATGACGGTGAACACGTTCGGCTGAATACAGTTGCTGACATGGCAAGGAGCCGACCTCAGTGGCGTTCATGCTGTGAGTTTCTTTGTCCCTCCCCCTCCATCTACGATCTCATTTCGTAGGGTAAAACATAATATTTTTTTTCTTTTTGCCTAGTAGCTGGCTGGAAGCTTACCGGAACGATGCCTATCCGTTGCTGGTAGCTCAACTGGCATGCAATTGTTGTATCTATTTTTCCTTTGTGTATTGTATTATATGTTTGTATGTATGTATTTCCTTCATGTATTGCGGCACAATAGCGGAGGTGTTATCCCCTTAGATCGCTAGGCGGACTCACACTATTCCCCGGTTCTTTTTGTGTTATTTGGAGCCATTCCACTACTGTAGGACATATTCTAAATGTGTCTTGAGCGCGAATTTGGAGACTAGTATTTAGTAGGTGGCCAAAATCAAACTGCATATGTAGTTCTTTATGGTACTTTATCCTGATGAATCATTGCGCTTCAGAAGGCCTGCACCACGAGTGCAATTGTGTCGATACAGGATAAAGTAATTGGATTGATCCGAAAGTCTGTTGTAAATATGCCGGTGGTCTTCCCTTCATAATCCCATAATCATCGGTTCGAATCTCTGTGGTCATGGGCGATCCTGGTCCTATTTGCGGTGGTCGCTTGACAGCTGTGCGTCACTGCCATGCACCGGCATACTGCTAAAGCCGTAACGACGAGGTCTTTGATGAGGGTGCGAAATCTGGTAACCAGACACATGTAGTCCACTATTATGCTTTGTGTATTCTTTATTGTACGCTTCCAACCTCCCCCATACTTGAGGTCACTAAACTTCGTGATTCACTAATCGATTATGCTTCTGTTGGGATGTTTTTTACTCGTCCTTCAATTATGGTGAGTACTTTTTAGCTTGGTTCATGTTTCCATTCCTGCACGCGAGTAAGCGTTGTCATTTCCCTTATTTTTCTTACGTATTGCGTGAACTATGACCACTCTTTGTGTGGGTCCATTTAATTCTCATTTCGAAAAACTGTTATGCCGCAGTGCAGTTAAATCCGTAATCACATAAACCGACGATTCACTTGTCCGTTGATCTATTTTTCTCGATGTAACTATCCTGCGGGACTTGTCAACCACCCTCTTTTTTACCCTTGATAACTCCTTGTTCATTGTCCAGTCTTCCTGCCTAGAGCTGTCGTGCATCCACTGATTTGTCATCCGTCGACTTCACTTAAGCAGTACTTTGCATGACTTTTTTTTCTCTCCGATGATTTGCCTGTCTAGGACTTCCCTCATACTCGGGACCTTACTACCCTTCCGATTCAGCGTCGTTTGCCCTACCATCAGCTGTTCACGGACACACTCCCCACGAAAGTGATCCGTGAGTTTTCGTTATCGTTGTTGCTGCTGCTGCCGCTGTTGTTGTTGTTGTTGTTGGTGGTGGTGGTGGTGGTGGTGATGATGATGATGATGATTTGCCTTACATTCATGTTGACCGGTGCTTGCATTACTTCTTCCGATCAGTTGTGTGCACAATTGAGTTGGTAGTCAAATTGCTTTCATCTTTGGCATCATAACCATAGTGCTGACAAGAATAGTGAACAATGAGTAAACATGCGGAAAAGGATGAAAATTTGCCACTCAAGAAAGGTAAATGAAACCATGGTTGTTGTCAGTTGGGGATGTACAAGATAAATCGAACGAGTGGATCCACAGAATTTGTGACTGCGTAGATCTTACCTGTTGACCTGACGCCACATAATCGTTTACGCTTTTAGTAAGTCAGTCGGCCGCCTCGTGCTAACGCAGCACTATTTCGGTTATATGGGTCACTACACCTATCGCATCATCTGTTAGGGAACTCCTTGGCTTGTAAGAGGCAATCTTCTGGAGATCAAATGTCTATATTCCTGTGTGCCCCATACTGAGACTAATGTTTCATTTTTGATGCTTCTTCACCGCAGTTGGGCTAAACCCACTTACACTTAAACTAGGTCTTTTTGAACTGGCTAGATTTCATTCCACTTTATTTGGTTTGTTCTGCCTAACTGAATAATCTTCTATTAACTGCCCATGTTGCTAACGCTAATTGCGCTTATCTTCGGTAACTTTGTTGCGTTTGTAGCACTTTTAAGTAACTTGTGGACCTTTCCTCCTTATCGCGAATTCGTTGCTATCCAAGTTACTTCATATGCTAATTTACCGAAAAGTTATGCCACCGTATCTGTATGCATTATTGGATTTGTTTTATTTCATCTTGTTGTTTCAACTGAATAGCGGTTGCTTGCTATCCCCGGTGTGGATGCGCTTGATGTGCATGTTGACAAGATACCTACCTGTCTAGTACCCACTACCTCGTTCATACTGGCCTCAGGAGACAGTTGGTCGTTGCTGGAGGGGACGGGGTGCACGGTCCTTGTGGCCGTACTAGGCTCGAAGAGTGGTTCCATACACTCAGTGTGCAACGGACTACGGTCCAGCCACCGCCTTGTGTGCGCTTGATTCCCCAACTACAGCGTGCTTGTGTTTGTTTGTGAAGGGGTGTGGACCGTCTCCGTTGATGAAACGTGGCTCCTATCCACATGCCTTCCGGTCTTATTCCTTCGGATTTACACTGGATATGGGGTGTGTGGTTGGAGCTGTGGGTGGTGCAGCACAAGCCATCCTTGGTCCCTCTGTAGGCGCGGGCATCCTGTGGCTGGCCACAGTGACAGGCAAATCCGAAACCGGATGCTACCAATCATTTATTGCTCTGCATGCTGAAGGAGTGTGGGCCGGTTCCGTTGATGAGACGTGGATCCCATCCGCATGCTTCCCGGTTTTATTCCTTCGAGTTTGCAACTGATATGAGATATGTGAATGAAGCTGTTGTTGGTGCAGCGCAACCCACCTTTGGTCCCTCTTTAGGCGCAGGCGTCCGGTGGTTGGCCACTTTGACAGGCAAATCCCGACACGCATGCTATCAACCCATATGTGTTTGTGTTGTATATGAAATATATGTGTATAATCGTCCACTGGTCACTGTTTTCCTGTTAAATAGTTCACTCCGAAGTTTTATACACTTAGCTGAACGACTGTTATTTGGTACTGATTTATACTGTGTGTTGCATGAGTGATTTCTTACAATAATCTGGTAGATGTAAGTTCTGTGCTGTTCACTCATGTGTATGTTCTTCCCACCTACATTGTCCACATTTGTTTCATCACATTTATGATCCCCAGGTTCCGAAGTACGACTTCACACTTTGAAGTTTTGGCTCCGCGTTGACAAGCTTATGAAGGTAGGCATCGCTGCCAACTTCCTTTCTCATCCAACGTTTAACTTCTACTGGTTTACAAATGGGGTGACATAATTCAAAAGGATCGAAATCACTACAAATTCCCTCCATCGGGTTGGTAGGTTTAACAATCTTCATCGAAGGAATGAAGCTGTCGTATCTCACATTGTCCTAACGGACAATCAAGGATTCGTACTACAGGGTATGCAACCGAGAGTGCGCAAATCTGACCAAGTTCTTGATTGTACCGCTCCGATACCCGGTCATCTGGACACTACTTAGCGGTACTACGAGCTTGAACGTAGTTCCTGCTTTCTCTTGGTTTATCTCTTTTTCACAGACTCATCTTTGTTTTCCTCAGCAAACCTCATTGTATGCAAACATGGTACATCAAGAAGTTGCTAGGTGCAGATTGACCATTACCTTATTGGTTTATATGTCACAATTTTTCAGAGGATCTATTAGAAGAGAACCAATAGCTTTGTTTGGTACCTTTCTTAAGTGAACTTGTTGTATGTAGTACATAGCTGACCTTGTATGACTCCATAATTCACCTTTGAATGGTATACTATTGTGAATCCTGACTCAAAAGTACAGGCAAACTATCTTAGGGCACTGGCGTTAAGCTGCCTTATAGTCGATGTTTTGGCTTAAATAGGTGATTGACTTGGTTGATTTCTCCACAACCAGGGCACATTCACAAGTTGATGAATGCGCATACCCAACTACCTCATAAGACCGATCTTAGCAGACAGACAGTTTAGTTACACTATAGGTTCAAGTGCATTTATGTCATGGGTTTACCTCCCTCTAATTTAGCTGCTTGCTAACTTGTTCATTTACTCTGGTCCAGGTGTAGATTAATCTCTCCAACTACCGACTATTGAGGTAATTCGCTAGACCACAGAGGAGTGGAAATCAACACAAATATGTTGCATCATCTGCCAATTACATTGTATGTTACGGGTGATTTTTTCAAACAACCTGAAGTCGCCTCTATCCCATATGAGATTAGGCCTGCGTCAATTGACGGATACCCTAGGAGCCTATGCTGTAGTATTGAAGGGGTCAGAGGCATAATCCAGCCTTGAATGAAGTGGCGCCAGTTGCTATCCAGCCAAACAAGAGAACCAAGCAGTTTTTATTGTACTTTAATGAAAACCACAGTGTATTGTCAATATTGGAAATAAAAAGCAGTTAACAAATCAGTTAATATACAGTGAGGAAGGCCGCCTAATGATATCAGATCCGTCGTTTCTATACTGTCAGTTGTAGTGACACTCAGCACAGCTTTCTTCGATTATGTGATTTGAGGTTTATTATGGAGGTGGTTGAAGTGGTAGCGCTTTTTTCGTTGGTACATTGCATGTTTTCAGCAAAGGTATAGAGTTCGTTGATGTCCAAGACCATATGCAGATATAAAACATTCGGGCTTTGTTTACGCATGTGGATTTCTTGCCTTCCAAATTGATGCCAGTGCTGTAAGACAGATCTACATAGGGCAAGCTTCCTACTAACCTTGTGCATACCCACGCATATAGATGTCGAAATGAGATGCTGAATCCCTAAATGCGCAAGGACCACTTTCAGAAGCCATCGAATTGTGATAAATTGCATTGTGGCTAATCGCAGAAATCGCTTAACCGAAATGCGCATCCTGATATCACGCCGAGTTCCTGAACTTTTAGAAACAAGATGAACACTTTTCTTAGCTGCTAATAGACTTAACTTATTTCCTTATCGTAATAAGTGTCGATGTTTTTCGAATCATCTAAGGACCAGCTCTGTTTTCTGCTTGTTACATACTTCACGCAACCGCTGCTTAAAATCGAATTGGTTCTTTCGTATTTCAACGATAAGATTACACAGCTCTTTTTGCCATGTTTATACTTCAGCGATTCATGGTGCTTTGGTTCTGGTGTTGGTTTTGCAATATCTACATCCGGAGTTCGACTTCCCACTCCTGCATGGGTTTTGACCCCCCCCCTCCGCGACATCCTAGGCCGCGTTTAATCGTTTGCGGTCGCATGAGGTCAAGGCATCGGAATATAGTACTGGTGCCCTGCTGTTACTCGTTTGCATGTTTGACAGTACCCGGGGCAACCTTTTAAAGTCCCTTTGTGTTATACTTCTTGCCTTTGGCTTCCCTGTGCATCCCCATTGTGAGACTCGCTCAACTAGTTCAGCCTGGAGGCGTGCAACACAAATGCGGATTGGCGTACTACTCGCTCCACAGAATGTGCCACTGCAATCGTTTCATCAAGCTAATGTACTGTGGAGAATGCAATCTGTATGCATTTTAAGGCTAGAAAGGCTGATTTCCTCATTTTGTATCACCATCCTTCAGGTTTCAGGCCAATGTGTCCCAAATACTTCCAGCTTTGATGTATTTGTTTATATTAACACGATAGCGGCCTCGTCACCGTAGTTACAGAATTATGAAATCAACTTTGACTGCATGATATGCCCTTTCGTGTGGTGCTGTCAGATCTCCGACTGATATTACACTCTTAGAATCTTCTTAACACGTTCTTGCTTATACCATTGTTACGATGCTTACTTAGTCTTTCGTTTACGTTATCACTAATGTACTTTAGGGTTGGTTTTGGCTGCTCACGCTCGCCATGTCTGGGCGGACGTCCCAACAGCTTGCTTACTGCATTATATTTTACGTTGAATCACAGAATTACCTATTTTCCCCAGCTTTTGCTTTAACTGACAGTTGAAGTTCGGTTTCTCCTCCATTTTGTTACTTCCTTCCTTCTGATACTATTTTTAGTGGAATTCTGCCGACGATCTGCGGCTGTTGGCAGCAAGGAGTCTCATAAATCGATACGAAGAAGCAAAACTACTTCCATTGACCCAACGTGGCGTGTCGAGCTATCGCTCGCCTTCGGCGACTCTCGGTTGGGATCGTTGTCTTCCATGTCTGGGTGCTACTGAGGGATTGTTCAAGTCGCTCCGACTACTATTGTCCTCTGTGACAAGCCGCATGAAAGTGATATCCTTCTTAACAGGTTGTTCCTGTGGATTTTCTCTCGATTCATAATCTCCTCTTCCATTTGACTGGGGTTGTTTGCTGCGTCTTTCCACCCTGGTTTTTTGAACGAATCGATCTCTGGTATTGATTTTCTGCCAGTTAGCTTGTTTGAGCGCTGCGGTTGTTTGCAAATCATTGAGAACATCCGTAGCTCGGGATGTCGGTTGGCTGGGCTACTTGTTTGCAGATGTTCCGCTTTTAGGCTAGGCAGAACTACCCATGCAACTTTCGGAATTTGACTTAAGGATTACCTCGACACACATTCATTTCCGGTTTGACTACCATGTCCCCTATTTGGCCCATTATTTTTGGTGGATGGGTTGACCGATTGATTGCTTCTTTATTCCGTTATTCTGTGTCGGCGTTCCATACACAGCCTCTAGGTCCACGTGTTGCCAGGCTCAGACGCTTTTTCCAACTTATTGCTCTTCCAACTATCCTGGCCTTTAAATCGAATTGTTAGTTTCCGTCATCCACTTGCGCCGACATTAGTGATTTATGATCATGCCCGCATATGGACAGGCTACATTGGTGTATTTCTGTGCAATTTTCCCTCTTCTGTGGCCCGCATGGTTTCCACAGATTTTCCAGGATACTTGCGATATTTTCAGTCCGCTTCCAATTCACCATTGTGTATATCCACTCATGAAAAGCAAGAGACCAGTTCTTTTAAGCCAACCTCCATACCTTTCAATACTATTCGTGTTACGGATCAAAGAAGTGTCTCCTTTGGCATCAAGTACTTCTTTAGAAAGATTAGCAGTATCTCCATTCTGAGTTCCATTTGGCAACCCAACTGAATCCAGCAACACCTGTGATTCGCTAGTTGTTAACCTCGTTGCTGTATTCGACAGCTTGTATGTTCTCCTTTTTCTGAAGAGTCAACTTACGACCCAAAACACCAGCCGTATTAGCATTATTCCCACAAGTGTTTAGTGCATCATCCACGTCGGCTAGACTACGTCCTTCACACATATGACAGCTATCATTTTTGTGGTGCGTTGCTTCTCTACACGGCGCTTATTGCGGTGAAGTACTTCTGGCATGTGGTCAGTTGACGCTATGATGGACACGCAAAATTAACTATTTGATTGATTTGGTTATGTTAGCGCATGCTTTCCTCATAGGTATAGTCCTCGAGTCTGGCCACACCACACAGTCAGCCGAGACCTGATGCAGCTACTGCGTCAGGGCAACTTCTGCATTCAATTTGTTGCCTATGTGTCTATTAATCTCACTGGTTTTCTTATTTTTTAAGTATTTTCTCTTTATCTCCTGACCATTGTCCTTAGAAGTTAATAGCGTTATGTGGAAAATTATAGTAATTGGATCCGCCGTAATTCGGTGTGCATTGGCTAAATTACTGACTCGAATGTTTCCGCCGACATTCTCTGAACTGAGTTCGTGTTAGTCAATTGAATTACTACCTTTACTCTCTTTCTCACTCCGCGTGTTGCGAAACCTTCTTTTTGGGTTCACCGCAACTCTCAACCCGAGGTTTATCACTGGATTTGTCCGAACCAATCACCCTTTCAGCAAAAATAGCTTTATTCTCTCCGCTCACCTTGCAGTTGCTAGGGTCCCGCATACACCTTGACTCTTTGCTGGTTTTCATAGCGCGTTACAAGTCGATGGAAACATGAACATACTCATTTTCCTGCTCGTGTATACAGCGGTACGATAGTACTTATACCGCGCATGTTGTACTCCTTCGTGTCTCTTTCTTCTGAACGACTCGTGTAGAAAATATGCACTTATTTTGCCTAACTTTTGTGTCGGCTTTCTCACTTGTCCTTCACAGAAATAAATCAGCGGCTGGTGTATGGTCCACACAAGCTCGCAGTGGCTGAAATCGCACGTGATCTTGCACAGTCTTGGCTCCTCAAGGCCGATGAAGAGCTCCGTTTGAAATTTGCTTCGCAGTGTGATCCATCTGATTCGAACATTGCCACCCCGTCAGATTCAGAAGATGGTGATAGTCTACAGACTGCAGACCAGCTTCCAGCCTCCATTAAATACTGGCAAGACGTGTTTGACAAGGTGGATTCGAGGCACAAACAGTTGGCCATTGAAGCATGCTTGCACGAGCATCATCTGGTCCACTGGGACGAAGTACTTCAGAGCACACACGAGTAAGCTGTGGTTGTTGTGAAACCCGTGTTGAATAGCTGAATACAAACCTTAGAGAGAATCCGTTAGAGCTCTCGTGTTCACGCCGCTTCAGGCATACATGGGTGTTTGTGCGTTTTTTTAACCTTGTACCTGCTAGCAACTTTGTCCCCAGCATCCATATTGAACCATCGCTTTCAGGTTTTACCAACTGCTACTCAATCTCATCAGTCTGTTTTACTCCTCGCTTACTTACCTTTGTCTCCAACTTGTTGCTTGCAAGCATTAGCCGACCATTCATCGGGGTCTCATACTGAGTTCACGTCGGTCCTTAGCCGCTTCTCTCCTCATTCCTACCCTCTGGCTATGTAGCACGGTACCGTGTTCGATATTTGAAGCAACCTGCGACCGAGTTACAATGCGTTAACCGCGGACGCACCACTGTTGCGGCTGCGAGCGTTTCGTGTTACTCGGAGCACTGATAGTCTTTCAGGTGCGCAGGGTCACTGACGGTAAGGTGTGGGCGAATTCCATGTGTCATTCCACATAGGTCATCTCGGGAAAATGAAGCACTTGAATACTGCAGTAGAAAACGTACCGGAAATGTACCTCTTTGGAACACCGGGTTTCCTCACTACTTACAGTGTCGGAACTTTTCGCATTTTATTTGTTCCATTCCGGAAGTGGTTATTTTGTGTTAGAGGATTGCTTTTCAAATTACGTTTTGTCTTCGGTGAGCAAGACGTCGGTGGATTACATTGGTGTCTAAATGATCCTTAGCGTCCTCATTGTTGCTATACTAAACACATTGGTGAACCCCGTAGGCTAAACCACGCGCAGTCTTTCATTCGTCACATATCACTTGAGTTACATGGTCCCTTTTGCCTCTCTTTTATTTCAGACCGACGAAATTGATTGTGATCCTGTTGTCAAAGCTTGCCTCTATTGCATCAAAGGAATCAACCTTTTCTCAGGTCAATGAATGTAAGCCCGTTTATGGTGTTGGTCTCCGAACCCGTGCACTGCGCGCGCTTCCACTGCTCGCCAAACTGGCTAGCCTCGACCTTCGCGAACTTGGCTGCCGTTTGGTTTTGGACCACCTCCAACTGCCCAGTCGTCTACTTAGCTCTATCGGAGGGATTTGTATCCATGCAAACACAACTGATGCGAGCTTTGCCCCGGATCTTACCATGACATCATTCGTTGGTACTTCGCCCGAGGATATCACACTAAATACGACGATGTTGCCAAGTGTTGGGCCTAGTTGGTCCGATTCCCCATCCCCAGCTCCTAAACACTATACACCTCCAACAACTGAGGATTTTGTGTTGGCGGAGTTCTTATTACGGATCCCAGCTGTACGTGAGGAACTGCTGCCTCTGTTACACTCGTTTGTCTTAACAGAAGACTCGAGTGCCAGTTACGTCCACAGGTGGCGTGCAGCTCAATGTGTATTGCGTTCACAGCTTGGTTTCGTCTTCTGGCCACGTCTTTCTTCCGCTGAGCTGCACTCAACTTTAGTTCGGCTTGTTTTACTGGCCACCTGCTGCACGGTGCCTGCCCATCAGCGATTACTTCTCCGTCTGTCAAGGACGGTAACTTCCCAGTTGGGTCACTCATTCACCTGTTTATGTCCCGAAAGTGTCACTAATTGCATCGAGCAGTTGTTGAATGCTGAAGTTGACCTGCACGAAGCACGAACATTGGCCGGCCTTTTAGTCATGGAATTTCAAGTGACCGATCGTTCCATTATCACCAGGTGGATGAAGTTGCTCCTGTTGACTCTAAAAGAACGTGATACATTGTGTACAGTTCGCCTACTGCAGTATCTCTGCTCATCTTCCGCCCCATGGGACGCTTTTGCTTGGCTTTGGTCTGGCGAAATTACTCACCAACATATCCGGGATCTCATACGCTACCTTATTGTTTCTGCTTTGAATGATGGCTGCAGCAGTGCGGCACCCGACATTCCATTTAACCGCATATTGTTCACTTTGCTGAGCCTTCCATTCCACGATCCTTTATTTGAGCGCGTCCTCGTTCAGGTTGCTTCGCAGATCATAACCTCTTCTTCGTGCAGTAGTCAGAGGGTTATATTATTTGTCGCTGCGCTGCATTTGTTGGTGACAAACTCCACCGACCCCGAAGTCGCACAGGCCATCCGAAAAACCTTTTACCAAGTAAGCATAGCCTCTATTGTCGTGACTGGTGCTATGATTTGAAACTATGTGCACTGAAGTGGCAATTCTTGACACCTAGTTGCCGGTTTATTAGTTATGTCTTCTGTGTTTCATCGCTGCGATGGAAATACGCGTCATTATACCTTGCAGTTGGGTTTAGATCTTTGCGGATGTTCAGACTTTTCTAGTGAGCCTCACTAGGAAATTCGGATTCTGATTTTATCTTGGCCACTGTTCACATTTGTAATCCCACAAGTGGACAAGGTGTAACTGGTTTTTGCTGTTCCATAGCCGTTCTTCGAGGTAGCCATATCTCATAGATTGTTGTTTCACCACGTTTCGCATCGCTTTTGCCACCGATTTATTCTCTTTTAACCTTTTTTGGATTTTTAAACTAGAATTAGGTATAGGAGATGGTTCGCTGTTGCTCCTCCCAACGATGACACACTATGACCGGTATCGTCCTCCTTTGGACTCATCCGATGGAGATAGCCTGAACTGGGGTGGACCTTGAGGCCTAGTGCTTAAAGGCTGACGCTTTAATCACTATGGTTCTAAGATCCATAATGATCAAGGCGTCAGCTTTGAGCCACTAGGCCTCGAGGTCCACCTCAGCTCAGGCTATCTCCATCTGATGCGTCCAAACAAGGACGAAACCAGTTATGGTGTGCCAGGGTTGGGAGGAACAACACCGAACCTATTCGGATACCGTCCTTGTGATCATAGTGACCGAGATCTACTTCAAACTGAACCGAAATCTGATTCGAGATTGTGAGTCGCAGTCCAATCACACAGCGGATACATCAAATGCAATTTTAGAATTAGCTTTACTTTCTCTGGTTGACATATACGCTTATTGGTTTTTGTGTTTTGCCTCATCGATGAAGATGCATTGCATTAGTTGGCTTCCACTTCACGCTACTTGCCCGAGATTCGAATAGTAACGCCATGAACGTTCACTTCCTTTGTTGTTACCTTACAGGTATTTGGACCTGCCGACGAGGAAACCTGGAATGTATTACTTGCAAAGGCTCTATCATCAAGCCAATTGTATCTAACCGTTTGTACTTTCAAAAATGTTATCTGATTAAACGCGATGTGTTTTCATTCATACGTACTTGTGCACGCACTGGTTAGTAATATCGGACATGTACTGAAGTCTGGTAATCTACTTTCTTTGGGGAAGCATTTTTATGGCTGGCGGCGTTCCTTCTCAAATTGTACCCCTCCTAATCGTCGACTAAAATGCTAGCTTTTGGATATGTTCGTTACAGGACAGCATGGCATACGATATTTAGCCTCACCCTGTCTCATTATGCATAAGATTGAAAAAGTTTGATTCCCTGGGAATAATATCCTAACTGCACCGCTGAGACTTTTTATCGGCATAAGGCTACGAAGGACTGCACGCAGTCAGGGGAGCAGCGGATTGACGGTACACATTAACGACTGCTAGATGTATTGTGTAGCAAATACCAAACTAGATGGTTGTTTTCTACTCTACCGTGTGTCATTTGAGAGCGGATTTGGTCGGGAGTGCCATGGTCTTCCTCAGCTATCAGTTGGCTTCTTTTTGCGGATCTCTTCGGCTACTTTTGGTGCCTCTTTTGATGGTATTATACAATTGCATTGCTAGATAAATTTCATTCCATTTTATTTGGTTTGTTCTGCCTACCGGATTAATCTTCTGTTAACTTGCCACCATGCTTTCGCTGATTGTGGACGTATCCTTTAACTCTACTACGTTTGTAACATTTTTTGAGTAACTTTTGGACACTTTGTGCTAAGCGCGGATTCGTTGCTAACCAGCCTTTTTCATGTTCTAATTTAGCGAAGAGCTATGTCGGCACAGCCGAATTCTTTAACAGATGTATTTTAGTTGCTAATGTCATCCCCGGTGTGACTGCGGTTGATGTGCATGTTGACAAGGTACCTACCTGTCTATTATCCACTACCTCATCCATACTGGCCCCAGGAGACAGTTGGTCGTTGCTGGAGGGGACGGGGTGCACGGTACTTGTGGCCCTGCTAAGCTCGATGAGCGGTTCCATGCACTCAGCGTGGAGCGGACTACGGTCCAGCCACCGCGTTGTGTGCGCTTGATTCCCCAATTACAACGTGCTTGTGTTTGCCTGTGAAGGAGTGTGGGCCGGCTCCGTTGATGAAACGTGGCTCCCATCCACATGCCTCCCGGTCTTATTCCTTCGGGTTTACACTGGATATGTGGTGTGTGGTTGGAGCTGTGGGTGGTGCAGCGCAAGCCACCCGTGGTCCCTATGTAGGCGCAGGCGTCCTGTGGCTGGCCATAGTGACAGGCAAATCCGAAACCGGATGCCGCCAACCATATATATATATATATATATATATATATATATATATATATATATATGCCATTTTCACTTTGAATTGGACATTTTGCAAACCACATTGGACATTTTGCAAACCAAATTGGACATTTTGCAAGCCACATTGGATCCTTCTTCGCCCCCAATGGCTCAGTGGTACGAGCGGTCATGTTTCGGATCCTGATGAAGCCCAGAGCTGCGCACTTTTGATGAGCCTTTATAGGAAGAACCGGATATGTGGTGGGGTATCCGATTTAGAGGCTGCTGTACCAAATTGTCAATTTTATTATTTAATCGTTGATTGTGCGAAAGGTGCCACGAGCGCTGTACCTTCTTTTCATAGCGCTGTAAAGAATGAAACGCCGTCAGCTGACACCTTCTAACTTTGTTAAGTCTGATTGCTGGTTGGAAGCAACAAGAAGTGATGTCTCTGTGTAGCTGCATCTAATGTCACTCATTGACCCGTTATGTTGGAGTACGCTCGATATATTTTATACCGACAAAGTTTTTGTTCAGGAATTTCTTAAATTCCGACACTGACTTTGTCTCAATTACATGCTGCAGCAGGTTGTTCCATACATTCACCACTCTCCATTCGAAACAGAGTTGGTGAGCGACCCGCTTCAAATCCGGTCCTACAATGTTCTACCGGTGTCCTCATGTGCTGTTTGGTGTGCGCAGATGAAGCAGCGCTCTCAAGATGGAATAATCACCCAGATGTACTATCCGGTGCTTCATGTTGAGGTCAAGCCGCAATCGACGATAAGCTAGGGTGTAAAGCTCTAGTTTCTTACACCGGTCTTCCTTAAGGCACGCCTCGTAAATTGGGAATCAGCCTGGTGGCCACGTGCTGTACTCCCTCAATCTCTACCTCGCCCCCGGTAATAGGACAATACACGGGAGAGCCGTAATCTAGCATTGGTCGTATTCTTGAGACAAAGAGGCGAGTGGCAATCTCTTCGGACTAAGTGCTGAAGCGGTACCTGAGCGCCAAAAATATACGAAGGCTGTTTCGATAAAGCCTCTTGGTCTTGTCCATGGACTTTAGGTCGTAGTGTGAAAATACACGGAGGGCTTGCACGTAAGGCGCAGGATACAACGATCGTTCTGCCACTGTGTAGATTCAACTGTGCTCACACTTACCCAGCCTCACGAATTGCAACTTGACCAGGTTGCTCGGATCGTTGACCTCTGCTGAAGCAGATCACAGTCATTGGGTGTGCGGATTACTCTCCACCCCTTCAAGTCATCAGCAAACAACGCACAAGATGAGTGGAGTAGTTGAGACACATCGTTTACATGGATCAGAAACAAACTCGGCCTCAGCACAGTGTCTTGTGGCACGCCACTGCTCGATGCATACCAGTCGGTCAAATGCTTGTCGACCTAAACCCTTCACTTTCGGTCAACAAGGAAATTCTTGACCCATTCTTGTTCCGCAAACCCTCAGCCTATCGAGAAGCGCTGCATGATTCACCTTGTCAAAAATCTTACTGAAGTCTATGTAAATGACGTCGACCGACTTGCCTTGGTTCAGCGCTTGCAACCATTCGTGCTTCATCAACAGTAGGTCGGTGATGCACGAGTGACCTTTCACGAAACCATGCTGTGCGAGCGTCGAGAGGCTTTTCGACTCGATAAGCTGCAGAATACTCTTTTTCACGATCTTCTCAAGCGTCTTTGCCAAAACAGCGGTCAGGCAGATCGGCCGGTAGTTATCCACTGCTTTGGTTACCACCTTTCGGTATTGACTTTACGAGAGCATTTCCAGTCGCCCGGTACTAGTCCAGTGAATAGTGACCTATTGAACAGCTCGATTACAGAAGGTGAGATAATGGCGAGAGGGGATTGAGGATCAGTAGGTGGATTCCATCTGGCCCGGCAGGCTTCGTCCCGTCAAGACTTTCCAAAAGCTTGCGTACATTTTCAATGCTAAAATCCTGTCTGTTTAGTTCAACGGAACGGTATTCGTCGAACTCGGTACAGACATCTGGTCACTCGCCAATGCGGACGCACCATCTGTGCTCGAGGTTATAGGCTGTCCATCTGGGCCTTCCAATACTAGCACATTGCCAACAGCTCTCAGACGCCGCTTCACGTAGGCGAAGATCCTCTTGGGAGCAGTTTTTGCGGCGGTTGCAAGCTGCTCTTCGAAGCTTCTGCGTATTTTTGTTTTCGCGTTGTTGCAGAGATTTCGCTGTACCTTGTATCCCTTTGTAATCATCATCAGTGCCAGATAGCACGAATTTGTTCGATAGTCTGCGTCCTCGTCGGCCAGTTTACTGTACTCATTGTCAAACCAATGTGGCTTGACTGACCCAATTTTCCAACATTTGAGGAGTACAAATCGGGCGCACAGCGATTTCACTCCCCCTTTAATGATTGTCCATCAGGTTTCAACAGACGAATTCTCTGGTAACGACCAGTACATCTGGCTCGGTGCTCGAGTGAGACCACCAAAATCCGCCTTCCAATAGTTGAAGGCTGGCTTCAGCGAGGGAGAATACGGCAGCGGCAGTTCCAAGCTGGCTAGAATCAACGGGTGGTCACTCGCTTGTATGTCAGGCACACATTTCTTACAGCTGGTCAAAGCAGGTATAAGCACGATGGAGTCGCGCGCGCAGTTATGGGCGTCGGTTGGTTGATATACTGTGTGTCCCCAGTTTCAAATACCAACTCCGCAAACTTCCTCTCGATTTCACAATGGCCAGGGAGAAGTTCAGTCTCATGCCACTGTATTCGGGGTGTTGCAAGCGCCCACGAATAGGAACAGCGGACGACTAATGTGGTTGCGGACATGCAGCAAGCAGCGGCTTAGTTGAATACCATATACCATGCCCACCAGCATCTCGCAGCGTCTGAGGTGAATCGAACACCATAACTGCTCACATAGACCATCAGCGCTTCGGTAGGTGCTCACTAGTCTCACACACAAGGAAGACCTTATGTAAAGCAGAACGCCACCGCGGAAGCACTTGTAGCCGCTGATTTTCACTTCTTGGGCGGTTACCTCGGAGTTTAGCCGTGTCTCAGCAAGGTGTAATACGTCTGGCCGCTGAGAGGGCACAAGGTAGCACAACTCATCGCGTTTGTTCATCGGACTGCAGACATTAGTAAAGGCTACGCGTAGGCCGCGATAGGAACCGCTGGACGCGCCTGAAGCATCAGAAACCTTTTAATCCGGGTGCTCTGAAGAATGCGGCTAACTGCGCGAAAATTTTCAATATGGAGATTTGTTTCTCCATCGCCCGTGCGTCGCTTCAGTTCAGTCATCGCACACTTGAGTTTCTCTCTGTCTTCTGGGTTTAAGTCAGCGCGCACATGAATCTTTAGACCTTTCAGCCTATTAACGCGGAACAGTATTAACTTAAGACTTGCCTCTTCAATAAAGATCACCCTCATAGGTCGACGTTTGTCCTCGGTTCTCTTTTCGAGACGAATAATCTGTTTCACTTTGAGCCCGCCCTCATCCACCTCGAGCAGTCTATCAATCAGATTTTGCTCGTCTAAGCTCACGATCGCTCATCAACTCTCATCATCATCAAGCGATTTATCTTTCACCTTCTAATCGCATGTCTCATTAGTATCTTCAATGTGATGATAGTTATTATTAACTAACCCGTCGACTATGAACGCCGGAATTTTAAAACAAGGAAACAATGGTGAAATACGATGCAACAACCAAGGATTGACAAGTCCCGTGGGACAGTTGGTAGGAATGATGTTAGTTCAAGAAAAAGTTCCACCAAGTGAAAAACGCATTCACATTTACACAAAAGTAATCCGTCTACCTCGATTTCGTGGGGGTTGGTGCACGCAATGTTTCTCCGCGTCTTGTCGTCACTCACTGTAAAGCATCGTCGGGTCGTTTTTTAAATGGGTAGTCTGGGTGCAAAAAGGACAAAATTCGAAAGAGCGTTCCACGATTGACGAATCCGAACGCAAAAGTAATTCCGGCGGCACTTAGCCGACTGTATTGGGTGGCTAGTTTCAGCTTATAACCCCTCAATTCTATGTTGC